TTTTAAATGGGGCTTGCTTCACACGCTGAGCTATCTTTAAATGATTGAGTGAAAACGAGGCACCAGGACCAACTTATTTATGTTATTCACGCTTCTTAACCCAGGAAAGCCTCAATGATGTTGCTCAGGAGGGTCCTACGAAATGATCGCTGTAGGGGGCGATGTTGCTGCTTTGTATAATAATTTGCAGAGGTAATTTTTCAGCAATCGGATTTTTGGCCAATACAATACCTGTTACATTGTGGCTAGGAGATGTTAATCATCTCGCCTGGTATGCGGGAGGTCGTGGGTTCAATCCCAACGGTGACGTTCGCATGTTTTGCCCGTGGTCGTGTGGATTTTTCTCCGGGCCCTCCCGTTTTTCCCTCCACATTTAGATTTGACTGCGATACATTTCCACGCGATAAGCCACTTCGTTGAGCTATCTTTTGTGATAGCCAGGTCGCTTCCGAAAAATAGCTACATAGCTCAATGGGCCTTACCTGGTAAAATAAAATTAGTTAAGTAATTTTCAGTTGTAGTTTGTAGCTGCTGGGCAATGTGCAGAATTGTGGCCTCTCGCACATTGCCCAAGCCTCTGCGAGTGCAGAGGGCATCGGAGAGCTGCAGCAGAGTGGACTTGCTTCCCCTAATGTGCGTGGCTGAGCGTGTATGTGAGCACACGCTGCCGTGCACGTGTGTCACAAAGATCGCAGCGTGATTGGTCGACACGGGCCCTCCGGAGGTGGGGATTGGGCCCCATGGGGGGTTGGCAGTCGATTGATTTCGCTTCAGAGTACAAATAGGAGATAGAGGGCAAGGTGTCAGTCGTAAACAAAGTTTCATTTATTTGTCATATATCAACAATTTACTTGGGAAGCCACTGACAATGGAAATTATAATGGCTGCACTGTGCCTTGCTGATAATAGGGTTTGCAGATGAGGGGGTGATGCTTGGAAGAGTTCTAGAGTATTCGTTTTTTTTTCAAACCTATAAAAATAGATTAAAATATGTAAATTTAGACAAGTAATATATACAACCACCGTAAATCTTTGCTGTACAGAAATGTCCGTAACTGTACAATGACTTTTGGAAGGCACATTGAGCACTGAAGCCGATTGAAACCGTTTTTTGTTGGGTGATTGCAAGCGAGTTTAATTTTGCCACAAAACCTCTCCCACCCACGGGGAGCGCCTTCATTGGGACGGTGGCGTGCCCATCCGGATAACGGAAGAGTCGGAAAATACAGCGCCAGCTTTGCCGATCGAATAGGCGTCCCAGCATTCTAAACGTTTAATTTTGCAAAGCCATCACACACGGCATCCGGGCGTGCTGAGTATACGAGTCCCTGATTGTGCCACCAGAATACGCTTGGTGTCTTGGGCAGTCATTCGTGGTGCGCATTCACACATTTGGCGGTTGCTCGATCTTCCATTTGTGGAGGACAAATATTCACACCTTTATTAATTTAGGATTTCGCCTCGATATTGGATTTGGTCCTCATATATAATTATATAATTAAATTACATCGTTATGGGATGATATTAGCATGAATAACGTTATATACAGTACACGTAAAATTAAAATATTATTTGCATGTGCTTATGAAGGAATAAAGTACTATATGTGGAGCTGGCCAATGTAAACATTTAAAATACAATTGTAGCCTGTTTTGTTTTGTTCAAATGCCATACAAAAGTAGAAGCATTCTAAATAAACTAAACTATTTTATTTACCAGGTTAAGCCCACTGAGCTATTATCTCTTTTTCAGAAGTGACCTGGCCACAAATTATAGCTCAACGTAGTCGTTTATCATGTGGACATTTTTGCAGCCAAATACTCTAAACGCATGTTTCTACATGTGGAGGGAGGATCTGAAGAAAAATCCACGCAACCACAGGAAGAACATGCAAACTCCAACTATACAGTTGTCAGGGTCGGGATCAAACCCACGACCTCCTGCATGCCAGGCGAGGGAGATAACATCTCGCTGGCCATAGGAAGCCCACTATTAATCACCAGTGGGGGTGTAGTGCCAAATATAATAAAGTCATATATCACTTCATATGTTCATATAGCTTCGGTTTACCAGACTTATTATCCCCCTCCCCCCTTTACAAACAAACGGACAAGCAGCAGACAGATAAAGGGACAGACAGCAGACAGTTGGACAGAGATAACAGATTCACTCATCCAACCTGAGCTGGAGAGTGATAACAAAGAAACAATCAAATATTCACGTCGTTTTTCACAAACTTTAATAATACGAAGCATTTTTTGTTTTTCAATATTACTTTCAACCAATTTATAGATGTAGCCATGTGTTATAATGAGGCCTGGCAGTAACTACAACGGTCTTTCCGTGAAAACAGTTTGTTCAAAGTGAATTTCACATGCGTCATTGCAACAACAAGGCGTGAGCGGTAGTCGAAGTTGCAATTACCCACAACTCTATAGGCACAGTAATCCCTCGTTTTACACGGCAGATGTATTCCTGAAAATGTCCGCGTTAAGAGAAAACCGCGTGCAGCGAGGAATTGCCGTCACCGAATCACATCTGCACTATATAATCAGCCTGCAGTCATCCCACGGCAGGACAAAGAACTGAGATGAGCTTCCCCATAAAAATCCTCGTGCCCCTAATCGTGGTCCACACTTGGCTGGGGCAGCGAGTCCAATCCCTCCCCCACCCCTTCGCACAGTCCTGCCGTGTCGCATTCGAGTTGCTGCTCGGGAAGTTTCTGTTCCCTTCCAATGCCGATTGGCGTATCGCGTTGTGTCACAATTACAACGAAGGACTGAGACGACGCCACTGCCTACTGAATCATTCCGCGCATTTGCCCAGATTCCCACAACCGCCCAGACGCGTAGCTGGAAACAGTAGTTTGTTGTCGATCGCTCAGAAACCGCGTTATAAAGGGCGCGCTCCACATTATAATGGTTACGCTCTGCATTATAATGGTTACGCTCTGCATTATAACAGGCGCGTTGTCGCTCTGTGCAAAGAAGAACTGTGCCATTGCGAAAACGAGTTGTACGAAAATGTGTTAAGCGAGGACTTACCGTACATCATTTATTACAAAAATTGCGGACTTTCGTCGGTAACACTGCCGTACAAAGGAACAAATATATGATAGGTGACATTTCGGGTAATGGCCCTTATTGGCCAGTAGTGGCTACGCAGGTGGCCTGTAATTGAGTAGTGTGGAGGCAGCGACGAGGGTTGGCGAATCGCACACAGACGTTGTGAAACTCCCTTAACATCCTGGGCGTCGCGGTGCCATACGGCCTTCTCACCGGAGAAGGCCGTCCAGCAAGTGGACCAGACGCCATTCTGTTTCCATCTGTAAGGGGATGGCGTGTTGCCACATTGCACGTGTGGATTTTATCCCCGGTGTTCCGGTTTTTTTTTATCACACATATGAGCACTAATTAGTTTGAAACCATCTGAAAATAAAAACCCAATGCGGTGCCCACCTGACAAAGAGTCCGTTGGCTCAGTGTGCCTCTCTTGGATAAATAATAATACGGTGGAACCTCGGTATACGACCGCTTTGAAATACGTCGAATTTGGTATACGTCGTGTTTTTTTCGAGAAAAATGTTTTGGGATACGACGTCTTGCTTGGGATACGACGCGTTTGCTAGAACTTGTGTGGGTCGGGATGAGTTACCGCGTGCAGGACCCGCGTATGCCCCGTTCACGACTGAAACAAAGCGAGAGGGGCGGGGCGGCGTGGGGGGGAGGGGCGGGGGACGTGGGGGAGAGGGGCGGGGGACGTGGGGGAGAGGGTTGTGGGGGCGTGGGGGAGAGGGGCGGGGGGCGTGGGGGAGAGGGGCGGGGGCGTGGGGGAGAGGGGCGGGGGGGCGTGGGAGAGAGGGGCGGGGACGTGGGGGGAGAGGGGCGGGGGCGTGGGGGAGAGGGGCGGGGGACGTGGGTGAGAGGGGCGGGGGCGTGGGGAAGAGGGCGGGGGGCGTGGGGGAGAGGGGCGGGTGGGCGTGGGGGAGAGGGGCGGGGGACGTGGGGAGAGAGGCGGGGCGTGGGGAGAGGGCGGGGGCGTGGGGAGAGGGGCGGGGGGACGTGGGGGAGAGGGGCGGGGGGCGTGGGGGGAGAGGGGCGGGGGGCGTGGGGGAGAGGGGCGGGGGGCGTGGGGGGAGAGGGGCGGGGGGCGTGGGGGAGAGGGGCGGGGGGGCGTGGGAGAGAGGGGCGGGGGACGTGGGGGAGAGGGGCGGGGGGCGTGGGGGAGAGGGGCGGGGGACGTGGGGGAGAGGGGCGGGGGGCGTGGGGGGAGGGGCGGGGGACGTGGGGGAGAGGGCGGGGGGCGTGGGGGGAGAGGGGGCGGGGGGCGTGGGGGAGAGGGGCGGGGGACGTGGGGGAGAGGGGCGGGGGGCGTGGGGGGCTGCCCCTATGGAGGGTGGAGCCCCGGGTTGAGGCGCGCGCGACGTGCGGGGTTGAGGCACGCCACGTGACCAGCGCAGCTGGCAGCAGCCCGGTCACGTGGCTTCTGTACGCATTTTCGTAATTAGTGTCTAAATAGTTTTATACAACCCCATTAATGTATAATATGCCATATAAAATATCATTTATTTTCCTCTGGAGCGGATAATTTCCTTTCACTGTATTTCTTATGGGAAAAAATTCGTTTGGTATACGTCATTTTCGGTATAAGTCCTACCTTCTGGAACGAATTAACGACGTACACCGAGGTTCCACTGTAAATAAGTAAATTCTTCACAGCATATAGAGGGGCTCTCTATTTCCAAAGATATCACCTATTATGTACGTTTCCTTTTAAGGCCACAGTGCTGTTGACAAATGTGTGGAGGTTATTTGTGCTTGTGCACCACTGCCGATGCGGTGTCACCAAATATTCATTTGTTACGATCAACAATGTGTTGTTGTTGCAGTACCTTGAAACATTCTCAGGAATATATTCTTGTAAAACAAAACAGCAAAGTGTAAAGCTATAGATATGCACGACCATATTTCTAATCAATGCTGTTGTTTTCCATTTTGCAGTGGAATGTTTGGTGATGGGAACTTTACTTACCTGATACTTCCTTTGAGAAAGAGCAGTAAACAGGTAAGATGAATCCATGATAGAGGTTTTCTTGGATTAGATCACGTACAACTAGTAAGGGTTGTCAGGTAAACAGAACATGCCAATTCGTCACGAGTACAGCACCCCGGTGTGTTGGAGAGCCAAGCCACAACATTTACAATCTGAGTACGACGTTTCGCCAGTAATTACAACTAGCTTCATCAGGCGACAACCAGATTTGTGGAGAAGTCTACCTGTTTCGTTCCTTATATAGAGGTAAGATGAATATGATGTTATAGTTCGAAGATCTGCACAGCATATATTAAACGAGGTGGTTGATCTTTTGGGTCTGATTCAAATAGAGTTGGTTTTCACACTTTATGCAGAATTACAGAAGTTCTGCAAAAGTGATTCTGCTAGATTTTGCCATGAGGGATCAATTGAGCCTCATTCCCCAAAATATCCTGTCGCCAATTGGTAGCCGGAGAAGTGCCATGGGAAATTGGGGCCACGTGTGTGTGTGTTAGAGAGAGATACATGTACTAGGTGTCGCGGTAGTGTAGCGGTTAGCACACTGCGCTATGAACCCGGAAACCCGAGTTCCGATTCCCGCTCATGGCCAACACCAGTGACGATTAATTGAACCGGTCCTGGGCCTCCCCTAGGTCGACTCTGTTTCAAATGAGCACCTGGTGTGGTGTGTAAACATTGCCACTAGGGAGACAAAGGCGATCGGGGGGTTCATTGTATCTGTGGGTGTTTATGAGTGCAAGAATGTCATTGACGCGCTATTTGGACAATGCGTGACGTTTGCTGTGCATACTAAGATTGTTCCATGTTAACAATGGCATACCGATTACAGTTGATGTTATTTCACCAAAAAGAGTGTAGTGATTTAAATTGCCATTTTCTTATCCATGCCGTATGTACAATGGGTGTCCATAATCTGTGTTCAGTGGAGCGGTGCTGCAATAGGTGGATGGGTGCATTATGAACCCGGCGATCCGAGTCTCAATCCCGGCCATGGCTAACATCAGTATCAAGTGATTTTTAAAACAGTCCTGGTCCCTCCCTCCTTTTAAACAAACCGCACTGACCAGCACGGTGAAGTGTGGTTAAACAACCCCAGTTATGGAAGAGGCCTTCATCCAGCAGTGACTTAACAAAGGGCTGTAAATGTATTTTTATATATTTATATAGCTTTACAAGGACGGACTGCGACGTGTCAGACACTATTATGAATAATTAAGTAACTCGATGATTCACGTTTGATGTGTGCAGGACAAGGAGCACCCACATGCCGTCTACAGAAACACGGGACTGGGCCCCGCGGTCAGCCCATTTGCTTACGGTCAGAAACGAAAAAAACATCTCCCCGCTTATTTTGGCATCTCACGCCGCATGCAGACACGCACGCGCATCTCTTCGGTGCGTGCGCGTTGTACCTCCCTTTGCAATGGAGCGGTGGCGCAGTGATTGTCACGCTGCGCGATTAACCCGGCGACCTGGGTTTGATTCTCCGGTGACGACAAACGTCTGTAGCAAGTGACGTCTGAACCGATCCTGCATGACCCTCCTTTACCAGCCCACGCTGTACAGCGTGGTGAAGTATAGTCAGAGCAACCTCCACGATCGACAGGGCGTGGGGGGAGTCCTTCATCCAGCAGTGGATTGACAAATGGCTGCAAATTGTGATTATGTTATTCATCCCCTTTGTAAATTGATAAGAAGAGTGATCAACACTGCTTGTTATTCACAATTTAACCCAGATGGGAATACTGTGGCGAGGGTTATGTTTAGAGGTGGGCTTCACAATGGAAATACCGTTTGTTGTCTTTTTTTTGCTGTTTTATGTTTGACCAGGTAAGGCCCACTGCACTATATAGCCCTTTTTCAGAAGTGATCTGACCACAATTGATAGCTCAACGAAGCGGCTCATCGCGTGGGAATGTATAGTAACCAAATGCTAATACATATATGTTTCTAAATGTGAAGGGAAAAACCGGAGGAATCAGACAAAAATCCATGCGATCATACAAACTCCAAATATATATCGAACCCACGACCTCCTGTATGCCGGGTCATTACCCGAAATGTCACCTATCATATATTTGATCTCGCCGGCGTGGCGCTCAACTCGTGTCATGCGATTCGTGGCGTGGCTCTCCGCAAGTTTACTGCCCAGTGCATCCAAGGGACGAGATCACCAGGCTGTAGCTCTCCATTGCAATGGCTACTGGACGAGATGAACTGGGCATCTGGCACAACAATGACACTTTTGGCCGTGATTACATTCATCAAGGGATGCAACGTTGTTATGGCTCTGCCTACTTGGTTGAACTGAATTAATAAATATAAATAGCCATGAGCTAGAATAAGACTAGCTTTTACCTTTGCTTGCAATAAAACAGGAAGTGTTAAGATGTTCAAACACCAAATAGAAACCTTTTTGAAAAGCATCAAGTCTACATTAACCACACGTACTTGTGGCAAAACATAGAACGAAACATGCTCACATAGGTAAAAAAAAAAATCAAAATTAATAAAAGTTAAATAAAAATCACGACGTTTCGGAGGCAACACAAGCTTCCATCTTCAGATTTTTTACCTACGTGACTTTACCTAAAAAACCTAAGAATATGAATACTTGCAGTCACGAAAGCTTCAAATCTAGAAGGAATTAAGAAACTGCTGTTTATAGCGTCGGTAAGTGTATGTGTCCATTTTGTGATTTTAATGGCGTCTCACGAGTCACCCGCAGTAGCTGTGGTTCGGTGTTTTATTGATACAAATATCTTTGCATACAGAACGCACATCGCTCAAACAAGATCCTGACGTGAAGAGTGATGTGCTGCGTACAATTTCTATCAAAAGGATAAAGAGGATGGTATGTATGCATTTCCATATGGAAGTTAGACAATTATATCATCGCTTAATATTACATAAACTCTTAACTTGCACAATTTTCTGAGTTTTTGTCTCCTTGTGTGTGCATAAGGACACTAAATAACTTATTAACCCCGTTTGGGGCACATGAATACTATGGAATCATTCCACTGTAGATTTCATTGATTCAAACCACCGTCGCTTCAATACATTCACTCCACTGGAGATGCAATGGATTCATACCACTGTAGGTCAAATATATTCTTGGCAATGTTGGTTGTTTAGATTCACACCAGGCCATTGTTTAAATATTAATTTACCGTTATACATACATTACAGCAATATATATTCAAACCGCCGATCAGGATGTAGTCCAAGTTGATCAATTTAACTTATGATTCATGATAATAGGGTTTTCCCATTTTTTCAGGCAACAAAACAGGTATTAAGATGTTAAAACACCAAACTGAAACCTTTTACAAGGAATCATGTCTGTATTAACCACAATGCTTGTGGTCAGAATGCAATCAAAAACATACTCTATTAATATATGCATTGTCCTTGAAACTGATTGGTCTACACCAGAGACATCTTCTTTTGAGCCTCGTTTTAGACCAGAGGACGCCAAAGCCGACCTCTGGTCTAACACGCCTTCGGGGTCCTCTGGTCTAACACCGTTGGAGACCATCATCAGGCGATTTTTCTCAGAATTGTGGCAAAGAAGTTCAACATACATGAATATCCTCGTGTGCGCCCTCTGTGTCCTGGGCTCTAAATGTGATGTATCCGGATACGAGTGCTGCATATACAAATGTACCATGAGCCATATCAAAATACTCACAAAGTCACGACTTCATACCAGAAATGTACTGACATTTGAAAGCTTTCCTTCTTAGATTGACACGAAGAGTGCTTATGATGAAACAAAATATGTGGAGCTGGCCATAGTGAATGACTACTTCATGGTAAGTCAATCACTTCGTGAATGTGAACACGTTTTTGTTGGCGCATAGCGGTCACATTTTCCTCTGTTAACTTTACACAACGTAATTAAAGTGTCTGTTGGACGTGCAGTGCTCAGGAGGACAAACTGTCCCTGCAGATTCCACACGCTAAGACGTCCATTATTATTAATATCATCCTCAAATACCTCTGTTTGCTTTCATCTTTCGAGCCCTATATTCTGAGGGCAATTACTATTACAGAGGGACACGCAGACACAATTCTGTGAAATCCATCACATGGTTTTTGGAACGTGATCGAGTGCTCATTTTTATTCCATTGTCAATTCCATTTCGTGAAAACATTGAGTTTGTTCTGTCGAGTCTCTCCACCCTCTGGAGAGGGGGTACTATGATATGCAACTGCCTCCTCATTTACCAAGAGCTCAGTAACTAGGCTGTGACGTGGCAGATCTGCGCTACCATGCAAGCGAGGCAAGGATGCTAATTGAGTGAGCTTAAACACTTTAGGGTCATGGTTTATGAGAACAACAACAACAGTGTACAATACAAGTTTGATTTTTGTAAGTATCTAAATGCAGAAGAATGTCGAGACGTTGCACCAGAGTGGGGGCAGCACTGGGAGAAGGTGAGAATCGTGGGTGGAGCTGACTCAGCGGCAAGCCAGGGTTGCCACCTGTCCGGGTTGGACGTGGACAGTCCAGGAATTGGCATGTGTTCGGGTGGCAGCAGTTGCTTTGTAGGCTTTCACGAACAATATCGCCCGATGAAGCTGTTTGTAATCACCAGCGAAACGTCGTACTCAAATTACACATTTTGTGGGTAACTAATAGCCCTTACTATTTGGCTGTGTCGGGTAGTGGTGGTTAAGGACACATTTATATGTATGCAATCTAACCCAAAAATCTGTATTATGAATAGCGGTATTTTGTTGGAGTTTATTTTGATAGCCCAGGGCTGAGTCTGAGCTGATTGAGATGCACGTCTGGTTTTAGTTTCGTGGAAAAGTTGGCGACGTTACGGTGGGTGAGGTCATGGACTTGGGAGACAGCTAGCCGTGCTAAGGGGTGACCTGGGGTTGGGGTAGGCCGTGGGGCCGACGCGGCCCAGATTAGGGGGTTGGTGACAAGGCCCCAGGATGTGCTCGGAGGAGCCCGTGGATGATTGATCTGTGGGCGGTCGGGCGAGCGAGCGAGCGAGCGCATCCTCACCGGTAACAGTAGCAGCAGAGGAGGAGGCGTGTCCATTCAGTGTCAACGTCACAGTGGCAACACGCATCACCCAATAAGGATGGCAGATGGCAGCAGTCATTGCACACGCTTCCAAGCCAGGTGCTGAGCTGCCGTGTGCCGCACAGGGGCCGCTGTCAATGGGGACTGCCTTTCGAAGATTTTGTTTTCGTAACCGTTGATTGAAGTTTGTGAGTCATAAAAACAAAATTACACGGTTATAAAGTTGTTGAAATCGTGCTGTGTATGTGGATATGTTCTTGCAGTTTAAGAAACATCATTTGTCGCTGACGCACACGAACAGCTTTGCTAAGTCCGTGGTGAATCTGGTGGATGCCGTGAGTATCGCTGTGTCACTGCTCGTGCGCGTTGTGGTAGTAAAGGGAGCTCGGTGGACAGTCTCACGAGTTCCAGAATCTGCTGAAATAAGAAGCGAAATATTCAAATGTGAATAGCGAACAAACTCACACGTTTCATTTTCGTCACCAGCTGTGTTCTGATTTTGACACTGAAGTCATCAGCACATGAGATTAAGAAATGTGTTTTCAATATTCTCAGTAGTGTATCAGATTTTGTCAGAGAAGAGCCACTGAAATATCACATTTATTTCTATATTTTACGTGTGCAGCACAATCTATAAATAACATGGCTATCACACGTAGTGTGCCGATACATAACTAATTAAATAACAAACTTGTTAACCCCAGTAGCTTGCTGCTCAGTGACAAATAGCTGAAAAACTAAAATAATTGTGAACAATTGTGAACAATTATTTTTTTTATGAAATACGTACGCCGTTTATCGTAAATGATCGTAACAACTTCATATCAATCATAATCTTGTGTGTAGGCATGATGGCGCTCTGAGGGTGGACATTAGTATGCGCCAGTATGCATTGGTCATTGCTGGAGCAACACAAAAAAATTACTGTCTTTTTAAATTCACTCCAGATCTATAAAGAGCAGCTGAACACTCGGATAGTTTTGGTGTCCATGGAAACGTGGACGGACCGCAACCGGCTGGTGGAGAGCGACGATCCTCTCCATATGCTGCACCTCTTCATGCAGTACCGGCAGCAGAACATGTCGGGCAGGAGTGACACAGTACACCTGTTCACGTGAGTCCATTCCCTCTCTCTGTTTGCTACGGGATCCTGCGACTGTGCCTGATTGGCTTCTCTGGGTGATCAACTTATTTTTTTGGCTAACCATCTAACAAAGACGGTCACCGCACCGCGTGCTTTCGGATGCACTTCTGCGGCCGTCTGGAACATTCTTCCTCCCGATATTAGGAAGCCAATGGAGCTATGTACTTCTAAATCATCATCTAGATTGAAAACTCATTCCTTTAGAACTGCTTTTTTATGTTTAGTTTGCTGTCCTTCCCCCGCACCTTCGATTAGCACGGCTGGCTACCTACGGTGCGAAAGAAGTTCAACATACATACAATACATCATACATAAACAGCCGTTGTCTTCAGAATCAGAATATTTATTTATACTTGAGGAATCCGATGAGCTCTATAGCTTTATTTCACTGATTTCCAATACGGGCGGATTCAGAATGTTACAACAACAAATAGTAAAATAACACGATAGGGGTGCAAAGTACAGGAAAGGTAAACAAATCACTTTAAAATTGACAATTAAAACAAAACAAAAAATTGTATCTTACCACTTAAAGCCCACTGAGCTATGAAACTCTTTTTCAGAAGCGACCTGGCCACAAATGATAGTAGCTTATCGCGTGGAAATTTAGAAAAGCCAATACTCTAAACACGATTCTAAATGTGGAGGGAAAACCCGGAGGACCCAGAGAAAAAGTCACGTGACCACAGGGAGAACATGCAAACTCCAAACATACAGGTGGCAGGGTTGGGATCGAACCCACGACCTCCTGTATACCTGGCGAGGTAGTTAACATCTCTACACCGTGGTGCCCCATCATCTCCAAGGATAATGTGCAGCTGCGTCTCAAAGCTTCCACGTACAAACAACAATATCACAGCTTTGTGCTTTCCCAGGGAAATTAGTTGTTTTCTCAACATCTCACTGCTCCAGGGGCACATTGCTTTGTCATTCGTGCAATATACCAACACTACTGAGATTAATTTCTATAAGTGTTCAAAGTCAAAAGGTCATCGCAGCCAATGCTGTCGATGCCACCACAGCTCGCTGCTGCTTTCCCGTTGTACGACACAGCCTGAAGTTGTTGCACGGTCGACACCCAACCTGCACGGTCTCATCACCACCGCCACCACCATCGCCCTCTGGGTGCCACTCCAGTGCCTGTGTCCATAGCCTGCCCCCTTCTAATCTGCACGCTGCCCTGACCCATTGCGATCTCGTCTTCCTGACTACAACCGCGATCAATACTTGCCACGTTTCTGATTGGCATTCGCGAGTCACTTTCGTAGCGCCTTCTGTCTGCACCCCCCCCCCCCTACCTATTGTCAGACGTGAGGGTCAGCGGCGGTGCTGCATGCAGGCCCACGGTGGCGAGACGTCACCCAAGGCGCCGCCGTAGCGAGACTCTGAATGATTTTAGTCAGGTTGACTTTTTTCGTTGTTGCTAGAATCGCAGCCACAATAGTTTGTGTTCGATAGAGCCTCCCTCCTTTATGTCTGGGCCGTCTAAGAGTGCTGTGCATGCCACAAAAGCGACTTACATCACATCTCAGCACAACACTTTTAAAAGGGCACCCCCAGTGCCAGCTATTCCTGTGTGGCACAAGGGTTACTCAGCACCTGGCCTGCAAGTGGGTATTAGTCTGCCAGTAGGGAGCGATGATTGCTTTGTGTAATCCAAATTGAGTAATTTGGAGGGGGGGGGGGGTAATTTTTACAACTTCTATTTTGTTGTATTAGCATGACACCGGCACACAGTGGCCGACTCGGTTCAAAAGGCGTCAGGAATCTTTAACGTCCACCGCAGAGCGTGGAGCAGACGATGTGCAGCGTATTGTGAATGCACCCACAGCAACTACGGGTTATAACAAAGCAGTATGAACAGTTCATTTATACTGTGTAAACTCCGAACTCTGGGCCAGGTGGCCCCGTGGTAGAGCAAGGCAGCTCGCAATCTGAAGGTTGCGAGTTAATATCGTGGTTGGGGGTTGGCTCAGCCTCATGATCCCATCGGGGTCGATAAAATTAGTATTACTATGTGTGGAAGTCAACAGTGGTTGTCTTATGGAATAGACATGCACCCCCTCCCCGCCATGACAATGTGGAATTTAGACCACTGGCTCAGGGCTGTGAACAAGAGATGAGTGCCAATGCCTCAATGCTCATTTGAGCAGGAAGTCACTTTGACTTGGGCCTCTGGGTGAATTTTTTCTGTGATCCTCTAAAGACCTGATCAGGGACTATTTGCGAAGTGGATGCAAATACATGTGTAGTGGGTTAAATGACTAGAGAGTCTCTCTGGGGCAACACGTAATTTATTTCACAATAATTCCTTAACACAAAGGGGTAATGGCCCCTTACACCCGATACAATAAGGAGGTAGCCCCTCCGGACTAATACGCCTCTCACTGGCTAATCTACACCCTTCTTGCGTGAAGCTTGTTGGTCTTCACTGGTACGGCTCTTGCCCTTTGGCTCTTCTCTTCAGGAGACCTCTTTGATCTGCGGGTGGACGACGACTGCCGGGACCGTTCAGAGGTCCGGCTTTTATGCAGGGCCGTGGCTCGCTCCGCCCCGGCCACACCTTCCTTCTCGATCCTTCTATCAGGACCTGGGGGGTGATGTCATCCCCCAGCCCCTCTCCTGGGGTCTGGGGTCTACATCTTGGTTACCGTTGGGCCCCGTGGCCCATAGTCCATTACCACTGGGGCTCAGCCCCTCTTCCGCCCCCTATTGGCACGTGTGAGATACTACCGGCTAACAGCACGGGAAGTGCACGATAATACCTCTACACATGTGTTTGTGCTTTTTAGTGGGAGAACATTTCTGAACAGCAGAAGTGGCGCTGCGTTTGTTGGAAGCATTTGTTCCACTGCAAAAGGAGGAGGCATCAATGAGGTAAGAGCTTGGCTAATGCTCCGCTATCTGGGGCCTTCATTGCAGGCATCCCAAAGCTCCCATTGTATATATGCTAAAGCGGTGAAGGTGGCAAGTGAACCGTGACGAAACTTGACTGATGTCTCTAATGAAAGTGAAACCAGTACACATCGCTCCTTTTGTTCCACTGCCATGAAATGGTAAAAGGCCAGGCTTTCAGGCTCGTCTCACTCTGGTCCATGTCCACAATGGCCACACAGAATATTAACCCTTTTCATGCAATTTTTTTACAGTTTTTAAAATTTTACCAGGTAAAGCTCACTGAGCGATATAGCTCTTTTTCAGAAGCGACCTATCCACAAATTATAGCTCAAAGAAGTGGCTTATTATTTGGAAATTTATAGCAGCCAAATACTTTTAAACGCATGTTTCTAAATGTGGAGGCAAAAAAAAGGGAGAAAAATCCACCCGACCACGGGGAGAGAAAATGCAAACTCCAAATACCCAGGCAACAGGGTTGGGATCGAACTCGTGACCTCCTGTATACTAGGCGAGGTAGTGAACATCTCCGAGCCACTGTGGTGTTGTGGGGAGTATTTTAGCTGTATTTCATGTTATGCGGCAGGAGGTGTCTTTTAGCACAAGAGATACACTTATTTATAATTATGACGGGGAGGCGGCCGTGGATATATTTCAAAATCGTGGATAAAATATATATTTCCTGTCGATCTCTATGCCAAAAGCCACTAATATAGATATAAATTATGTTTAAGTTAAGAAAATTTAGTTTGTTAATGAACAAAACTAAAATTTCGAGTAAGGAATGTTTTATTACAAAAGTCAATTTCGATTTAGAACAAATACGAACGATCGACCGATCGATGCGCGTACTCAGTGATAACACTTCCTGCTACCACGCAGAAGACTCCGCCCACGAAGTGGACAGCAAAGCCACGCAAATCGGATAAACCTCACGAGGATAATCGAGAGACTACAGTATTTGTTTTCAGTTCATAATGTGGTGTTTGATGCACGTTTCGTATGCGTGGGTTTTCTCTGGGTAAATGCAACACACTCGTGAAGTTGGAATTGACTGAACACTCTAATAAACATAGTCCTGAGACCCAGGGAGCTGTTTGTGATTCGGCCAGGTGTAGTGACGTGGTGACCTCATCACCAGTGAATGCACAAAAATCCCAGAATAAAAAATGTGCCTTTGATTTAATTTGGATGAATTACATCCCTTGGGATTGCTTACCTCAGTTGACTGCCATTCCACAAACAATTCTCTTCATAGCAGGCCAGGTGGAAAAGTGCTGACCTCTCATGCAGATAGGAGGTCGCTTGAACAGATTTCATAAGTAGTTATGTGATATTCATTTCCACAGATTATTCTCGAGTACAGGGTAATGATGGTGCTCTGAATGGATTATTCCTCTCTAGACATTACGTCAACAACACATGACATTGGGGGGGACCAAAAAAACATGACATTGGGGTCTATCAGGCTATGGGCCTTCTGGAGGATTGTTCTGAAAGGAAAACACTGGACCAGTTTCGATCTTGTAAGTCTCATCAGCACTGTTTAGTTATTAAAACAAATGCCGGGTTGGACACACATTGCCAAGAAGGCCCATTGGCCGATGGACTCTAATGCCATTTAGTTTTGTTTGTGGTGCTGAGACAAGGCCCTTTATTCGTAGTTTGTGTGTGTGTTCTGTATTATCACGAGTCTGCCACGGCAGCGCACACAGGATTGTGTTTTGGGAAGCGGCGATACGACGGGTGCTGATGTCAATGGCGGTTCTAACTGTTGCTGTCTGAAACGCTCTCCCTTCCGTTATTAGGAAGCCACTGGAACGATGCATTTTTAAATCTTTATTGAAAACTAATTTTTTTAGGACTGATTTTTTTGTTTGGTTTGTTGTGCTTGCCCCGCACCTCTGATCAACACGGTTGGCTACATACGGTGGAAAAGCAGTTCAACATACACACGTGATTTTATGGTGGAGGTGATGTTGATGATTTATTGTGTTTTTGTTTCTCTCAGTATAGCAATCCTGAAGGTATGGCTGTTACACTGTCTCAAAATATTGCACAAAACCTTGGGATGATGTGGGAGCCGAGACATTCAGCAGATGATTCAGGTGTTCGCAGAATGTTGTAAACATATCTATCCTTTCCACACATCTATCCTCTTACACAGTACATATACCTTCTATCATTGTTCGTCTATCCTTTTCAAAATACACCTCCCTCCCCTCTATCGTTCATGTATCCATTCTAAATATACCTCTGCTATCTAGCTCTCACGAGAGATGGTGATGGCTTGCAAAAGCCTTTATTTAGTAGTGGATTAACCGTGGATGATGATGATGACGGATGATATTTATAAAACAAAAATGTATCCTTCATGCACGGTTTAATATACCCTCCTCAAGAGTATTTTGTACCATATTCATCTTTTAAGGCGTGAATTAACTGTGTATTGCCCAAATTTATTTTTTTTAATCAAACAAAAATCTTGTTTTCCCGGATCAAACCGTGACAACATGTAACAGCGACTACCGGAATCTGTCGTAAAAAACCCGTCATTGTTGCGAGCACAATGGCTCATCCGGGCAGATTCCCGGTGGCATTATTTTTCAACGACAATCGAACTCTAGTTTACCACCAAACCCTGTGGCGGCGGCCGCCAGGTGAACTGAGCGTGCGCCCAAGCAGTGCCCGGTAGCTCCTCTTGCGCTTAAACACGGCGTTTGGTTGTTTCGCAGTGAGCTGCAAGTGTCTGGACAAATGGAACGGATGCATCATGATGGAGGATTCTGGGTAAGAAAATGAAATATTTCCAGCAAACATTGATAGGAAAAAAAAAATTGGGCTCAAGATAAATATGAGCAAAATTAAATTCCCCAAACAATTTTTTTTTGCCGAAACGAATCGAAATCATTGTTGGATGGGCACAACTGTGAAACGCAGGGCATAATGTGTTCCCAGGGCGAGTATTGGAGGCGGATCGGGATCGAACGATTACATAATAAGACGAAGGAGAGCACTTAGGCTTTCTGTGGAGAAATCTGTCCGGTGGTTTCACAGCCGAGATTTAGACTTAAAAACTCAACAAGCTCGTCAATAACACTGTGGCCTTAAAATATTACAAATATAACAGGTGACGTTTTGGTACCAATAGTCTACTTGATGTTTTTTTAATTGCTCTGAAGCAGGGCCATTGCCTGAACAGTTTAGGAGCGAGTTCAACACGTACGCTTTCGTGACCAATATCATCCATAACAGAGGTTTTTGGGTTAGATCGCGTAAATATATAAATGTGTCGTTAAAACCCGCCACCACCTGACACAGCCAACTAGTAAGGGTTGTCACATAAACAGAACGTGCCAATTCGTCACTAGTACAGCACACATGTGTGTTGGAGAGCAAAGCCACAACATTTACAAACTGAGTACGACGTTTCGCCAGTAATTACAACTAGCTTCATCAGGCGATAGCCAGATTTGTGAGGAAGTCTTACTGTTTCGTTCCTTATGTAATGTGAGGATATATCTGGGTCACTGACGGATCACAACTCGTCACGATGATTGGCTCTGCCGGTCCTGGTCCATAGCCAATGGGGGGAAGCCTAGGGGCGTGGCCCTGACATAATGGAAAGGTGACAGCTGTAAGTAGAGGATTGGTTCTGCTGGCTTTAGCCACAGCCAATGGGGAGACGAGTCAGGGGCGTGGTCCCGGGAGCCTACGATGGAGTCTGGAAGATTCCATAGAGGCTAACCAGGATTGGTGGAAAGGTACCACGTGACTCGGGTATTAATTAGGGGTGGAGACGAACAACACGTGGTCAGAACTGGAACGAACGGAGGGAGAGGCCACGCGAGAGCGGGGGTCCAGGCTGCCACGTGGCAGCGCGCGTTTCTCTCTCTCTATCCCTCTCGCGCTGTCTGTCAGCAGCGTTTAAGGAGTGTTGTAAAGAAAGACAAATAAAGACTGGATTCCAGAAGTCGCTTCCACGACCTTTATTACACTTATATAGAGGCGTAGATGTGTTGACCACCCTTCTGCGTTCTTGCACAATGTGGGGGGGGGGGGGGGGGGATTACTGAGGCAACGTACATTATGCATGTGCATTATGCGAGCCCTTTGAACTTGTCCTTCCTGTCTATTGTGTTTATTAAAAAAGCCGTACCAACGGTAATCCCTAATGAAGTACGCTCCCCTTTGTAGGCATGCATCTAAATAATGTATTGTTTGACGATTTGCTTTTACGCAGCACTAAGGCGGTAGCTATCCGAACGGTTAAAGTTATTTTTATTTCTTTGAATTTCGATGGATTCTCTAATTATTTTTGGCCAGTAGTAGCTAGTTTTGCACAAAACTTCAACAGTATAAAATCAAACTTGATTTGAAGCTTTCGTGACTGAAGGAATTATTTTTTGGTTCTTGCGATAAAGTCACATAGAAAGAAAATCATTTAAATTTTAGAATACGACGTTTCGATTGCCACGCAAGCAATCGTCATCAGGTAGAAAACAAACCTAGTAAACTTATAAATATAATGCAATACAACACAGAGAGTCGGTTAACACAACAGTCAACACCCTACCTGGTTGATTACGTTCTTCCAAAGATTGTTAAATTTGAGAGACAAAACACAGACACGGAGACACACAGACAGATACACAAGCAGAGAGAGACACACACATAGACACATAGATACACAACGCTTCTCTGTCGAGGCCTTAAATAGAGAGGGGGGGGGGGGGCAGAGAGAGAGAGTTGGGTCTACTGGAGCAGAGAAATTAGCATGTCAATGAGAGAGTTGTGTGGAAATCCACCCCGCGGAAGCCAGGAGAGAGAAAGACCCAACAAGCCTGGTAAATTTTTGAGAGATAAATAGGAAGTTTGAGAAGACGAAATTAGCAACATTTTTGAAATGTAGTGCAATGCAACACAGAGAGTCGGTTAGCACACAGTTAACGCATAGCCTGGTTGATTACGTTCTTCCAAAGATTGCTAAATTAGAAGTTAAGTGTGTAATTTGACAGAGACACAGAGAGAGAAAACAAACTTAAATCTTCCCCGTAGAGGTGGTTCAAACTTTATTTGAAGCTTTCGTGACTGCAGGAATTACTGTTTGGTTCTTTCGGTAAAGTCACGTCGAAAGAAAATAATTTACATTTTAGAATACCACGTTTCGATTGCAACACAAGCAATCGTCATCAGGTCGAAAAGAAACCTAGTAAACTTAGAAATACAATGCAATACAACACAGAGAGACTCGGCTAACACAACAGTCAACACCCTACCTGGTTGATTACGTTCTTCCAAAGATTGCTAAATTTGATAGAGAGACAAAACAGACACGGAGACACACAGCCAGACACACAAGCAGAGAGAGACAACACAGAGACACACAGAGACACACAGAGACACACCGCCTCTGTGTCGAGGCCTTAAATAGAGAGAGAGGAGTGTCCTTGTTGGCACGCGTGTTCTGCTACTGCTAACATTTGCATTTGGGATAATCTAATATTTCTCTGATCTTCTTTTAGTCTCGTGCTGATCATTCGTCCTGTTTGCCCAACATAACATTTACCACACGTGCAGTTAATCCTGTACACACCTTCTGTTGATAGCTTCGGTAATACATCTTTCGTACCAGATATTACATTCTGTATTTTATGTACCGTGCCAAATCTGACTCGGAGGTTTTGTTTTTGGCTAGTTTATCAGTTACTCCCGCAATGTACGGTATTTTGATCGTTTTAATTACTTGGGCAGTTTCCATGCTCTTGTTATTTGCCATAACAACAATAACAACAAAACCCATCCATCCAGTTTACCATGGAAGTGGAAGCTGACAGAACTCGGACGGGGTAGAAATGATAAAATAACACACAGTACTCTTTGGTTCTTTCGGTAAAGTCTCGTAGGTGAAAATAAGAAATAAATAAAATTTTATTTTAATGAATAAAAATTAAATCACGACGTATTGCATTGTATTTCAACACAAGCGTCCGTCATCAGATGGGGACAACCACAGCAAGAAACAATTGCCTACTTCAGCAGTTGTTTCTTGCTGTGGTTGCCTACTTCAGCAATTGTTTCTTGCTGTGGTTGTCCCCACCTGATGACGGACGCTTGTGTTGCGCCCGAAACGTCGTTATTCTTTTTTCCACCTTCGTGACTTTACCGAAAAAACCAAAAAGTATGGATCTTTGCAGTCACGAAAACTTCAAATCTAGAATAACACACAGTGTTTACCGAAAGAAAACGCATCCTGACGCCTATTTGAATGCAGTCGCTCATTCATCGAGCTAAGAAATTGTCAGATGGTGACAGCCTGAAAAGTGAAATTCAAGAAGCTCTGCAAATGAACTGTTACAATGATGCACAAATCATCAGGGCATTTAATACCAAAACCAAATCAAATAACAAGAGCATTGAAACTGATGCGAGGTGTAAACAAACGCCTCGGTTTTCGTCCCCCCCCCACCCAGGTTCCACCTCCCACGGACGTTTTCCCAGTGCAGCCTCGTGGAATACCAGGAGCTGCTGCAGCAGGGTGGCGGCGCCTGCCTCTTCAACAAGCCCACACAGGTGCCACCAGTGCCGGATTATCCTCATAGCAAAAGTGGCTACATATGCTACGGGCACCGCATTTTCAAGAGCCCCGCGCTAAATGCTTTCAAGCTTCAATTCCGGTTCAGTGATTCTGCACTTGCTCGATTACTATAGTACTACTAGCCTTTTGTCCATCCAAGGACGGGTGTATTGCAGTACATCTGAAACTTGCAAGCGAAAAGCAGACCACGACGCGATGTTCATTGCATCCATTCGTGTGCAATTTGTAAGAGTGCAGTGACACAGACCTATTTCAGTTTAACGTTATAATCCCTTGTTCATCATGACGTCCTTTTTACTTTGATGTATCAACAGCGTTACGGAGATCGCGTGACGTGAGGGTTCTGCCCCTGTAGTGAGGGTTGTGAGTTGACGCCGAGGAGGGGGGAGGAGGCGCCTCAGCCCCCCATGTGGAGTGACGTCAGCTGCTCATTATTATGAATGAGCGGGGGTGTCCATTTGGAGGATGTCAACTGTTCATGATGATTAATGTGGGGGGCTGTTCGATATGGAGTGACGTTTACCTGCTCATGATTATTAATGAGGGGGAGGGTGCTCCATGTGGAGTGACGTCACCTGCTCATTATTATGAATGGGGGGGGTGGGTGTCCATTTGGAGGACGTAACCTCTTCATGATTATTAATGAGGCTGGCTGGTCAATGTGTAGTGACGTCACGAGCGTTGCACACAGACATTTTTGGCTCATTATAGAAGGTAATAATAATGGTGGGGGGGGGTGTCCATTTGGCGAACGTCACCTGCTCATGAATATTAATGAGGGTGGCTGACCGATGTGGAGTGACGTCACGAGCATTAAAGACATACATTCCTGGGTGATTATAGTAGGTATACTGCCTTCAATTTTTATGAACGACTGGGTGTTTAAGGTTAGCGATTTGTCGTATTATCTGACTGTATAGAAAATTAAAAAAATACAATTAATTTACTATGCGAGTATAAAATGTGTCTTTCAATGTTTAGTGTTATTTATTTAGGGTCCCTTTATAACATAGGCCCCTCACTAACTTCATCCGGCACTGGGTGCCACCTTTGTCGCCACAGCACGTGCGCACGTGCTCGTCGTGTCGGCGTTTGTTCCCCTTTGAGCGCATGCCGCGTTCCCTTCGTTGCGTCGAGCACGGCTGGGCCAGTATTGGGGTAGAGACGTCGCTGACTCTTTTCTTCACCCAGGCGACCACAGAGCACGGACTTAGGTGTTTCTTAACGTATCACGATAAAAACAAACAGTTACATGGATTTAAGGGTGTAAAAGTAACAAAAATTATACAATGAAGAATAATTAGTATTGTTTTTTACTTAAAATCTTGTCAATGATTCACATTTTGTCTGGGGCACTGTTCCAGTATACAACCAAGCAATTTAAATCAACTTTTCGAACCAATGGATCTCCAAAAGGAAAATTAGTGCAATTTAAATGCAGCGCTTGAACGCCATATATATGGTCTGCTAAGGAGATTTAATTTAAAGAGCTCAATCAGGTGCTTCATGGAGTGAGTGAGGTACCTAGCATCTGAGAGAAAACAAAGATAAGAATAAAAAGCAACATCAAGACTTTTCAAGGCTATTTACAAAAGCATTGCTTAGCGTGTAAATCACTATACGTAGTATTTACAGCACGAATCCGTAGAATGATGAGATGTCGATTTCTGCTCCGAAGGAGCTCGTAACTCTGTCCCCATTATAAACACCTCGTGTGAAAGACCCGTTCCTGGCTTCGATCTTCCGCCAAGCTGATGGCCACAACTCTAAACCGCATGCACACAAACCGTGGCAGCAGATGCGGAGGCTATGGTCACCCAGATCAGAACCACTCCGCTACTCCTTGACGCAATAATCTGGTTCATCAACCACCTCAATGTAAAATTACAGCCATTTCTCTATTGCTCTACATCGACGTCAGCCGTATGACAACGAAGAAAAAGAGAGAGATTGAGAATCTTCTTGTGAGCTCATGAAGCAAGCGAGGGCCTGGTGAGCATGTTGGCTACGTACGGTGCGAAAAAAGTTCAACATTTCTACTTATATTGGCAAAACATTGTCTCCTCTCTCGTTGGCTTCCCAATACAACGCTCGACAATACTTGGACGAATTACAAACGAATGGACAATGCAAAAGCTGAGTTTTCAGTCAGCAAACCAAAAGTGAATTGGCAACCGTAGGTGTGTGTCTTCACAATATTCTTATGCGATGCGGATCCCCGACACCCATCTGAGGATTGATACGTTCTCCTTGGCTTTGCTACGAGAGCGTCGGTGTTCTGGTTCGAGTTGTGTCCGTATAGTTCACCAGTAAATAAACCGCATCAAATCAATCGATCAATCTTTATTTTGTACGGTGCCTTCCGCGAAAAGATCGCCTCTTAGAGCGCTTTATGTAAAAATGTAATGATCATAGAAAAGATTGTCAATTATTGCATCAACAGCAATAATTACAACCGGAAAGCATCAAAACACCGTCAGAAACGTAAATACATAAGACGTAAAATGTATGTAAAAGCGAGTAATGATGTGTCAGTGTGAACGCTCGATCGTAACAATCTGTACGTGCACACTGAGCAGCTTATACAAGAACATACGACACCAACGATGCACTGACCAGGGAAACAGAAGACAGCATTAATCTTCAAAGTTGTCAGTAAAGAAGAGTAATATTCATTTTGATTACTATTACACAGTTTAACACGTAGGCTTTCGCGACAAATATTTTTCAAAAACCTAAATTATGGATACTATTACACAGGGCGGTGTTGGTAATATGTAGAGTAAAGAGAGTAACTCGTCAAACGGCATCCCATGACAACGTCGGTCTACTGCCTGCAACGTTGCTGTCACAGTGAAAGTATTTGTATAGAGGCATCGGGACGAGAAAATTACCTCTCTCAAGAAAGCCACGAATATTCTCAAGAGTCAGTGTCTATCCTCCGTACGACACAGCAGTAGCAAGCGGCAAAAAAATGAGCTGATTGACACACAACAGCTAGGTTTGTCAGCCGTCATCCGTTTTAAAGCTACATTCCATTTTACGTGCTATGAAGAATGGCCCATTTCTCAAGATGTCACCTGTTATATCGTTTTTCATTGTAAGGCTCTCAATGTTAAACCACGACACAGCCCGATTTCCCACACACTGTATCGTGTGCTCTGTGCAGTGTTAAATTCAGTAAGGCCACGGCTTGCCGCTGTTTTACCCATTTAATGTGAATGCATCGGTTAAGTTTGGCCAAACTGTTCCCCTTTTACGACAGCCTAAATCCACGGGCCACATTCCCCAGCAAATCTGGATCCGGAGATGGATCGTGGCATTGCAGGCTTGTGAGTGATGGCGATGGTGTATTTCAGGCCTTCATCCAGCAGTGGAGAGGCAATAGCTGATGGTGGTGATGATGGTGATGATTAAATGGCAAAACAATGACACGTTATGTGAGAAATGGTGCAACATCCAAATGGTTAATCGTGTTTGTAAAGCAATACATCATTGAGCATCATATTCTTAATATTTTTGTTACTCAGTTGCTGAGCACAGGCCCAAAGTTCCAACAACGTCAAGTGGGTCAGCGACAGACGGCACGTGCCAAAGTTGTAAAAGATAAGCGTGTCGTAGTATGTGTCTTGAATTGAGCCGGATTATTATTAAGAGCTTGGGGGGGAAAGAGACGATGGGGGAAAGAGACGATGGGAGGAAGTTCAACAGTTGAGCAGTGCTAGGGAAGAAGCAGGAAGAAGAGTAGAGGAGTGATGTGGTCTACAGTGTGGTGAGTGGGTGGCTAAGTAGGTGAGTTAACAACCCCCTACCTCCTCATGGTGCCGGACGGGCGACGCTGTCGTGGGCAGTGCCGTGGGGGGAGGGCCAATTCAGATTGGCCTTTCCCCTCATGGCTTTTGTAGCCACCACAGCGGCCAAATGGGGGCTCTGGACGGGTGCGAGAGGCTGGTAACCAGAGGTGGGACAAAGTCATTGTTATGCAAGTCCAAGTCGAGTCTGAAGTCATCAAATTCATGACTCGAGTCTGACTCGAGTCCAAGTCACATGACTCGAGTCCACACCTCAGAGGTGGGACAAAGTCATTGTTATGCAAGTCCAAGTCGAGTCTGAAGTCATCAAATTCATGACTCGAGTCTGACTCGAGTCCAAGTCACATGACTCGAGTCCACACCTCTGCTGGTAACCCCTCCACCTTCAATTAACTACCACTAAACTACGATGCATAAAACTTATTAAGCTTGTGCCGGAGGCCCCGGGGGGACAGGCGTCTATGACGTCTCCTGGCCAAACCCCATTTGGTGGAGCCAGGAGACTGAATCCTTACCCTCGGGGCTCCTCCAGAAACAACAAAAAACCACTGCGTATGGCCACGTGGAATGTTCGAACGCTCACTGCCGAGGAAAGGCTGCCACTCCTCTGTCGGGAGTTGGACCGGTACCGCCTGGATCTCTGTGGTATTCAGGAGGTCCGGTGGACCGGCTCTGGCTCCTGCCACCATGAAGGGTGGACAGTCCTCTACTCAGGGCAGGAGACTGCCAAACAACAGGATGTGGCTCTTCTTCTGAATAAAATAATTAAGGGGGTGTGGGAGCGTGGCGGTGAGGTGTGGGAAGCTGTAAGTCCCAGGCTACTTTGGGCTCGCCTTCCCATCAACCAGAGGCGAGGAGTGGTGGTCATGGTTGCTTATGCCCCCACTGAAGACAAACATCCGTGGAGGGTTGCAGGCAAGCCAATGAGTCAGATGCCTTCTACGACCTCCTGTCACAGGTGCTCGCTAAAGTGGCCCCTCGGGATCGAGTCATCTTGTTGGGTGAATTAAATGCCCGAGTTGGTCATAATGCTGGCACCTGGTTTGGAGTCATTTGAAGGCATGGGCCAGATCAGCTCAATAACAACGGCAGGAGGCTGCTAGATTTTTGTGCAGCCCATGGGCTTGTAATTACCAACATGCTGTTCCGGCATCGGCGCATCCACACCACATCATGGATGCATGCCGGGCAAGAACATCTGCTGGACTACGTAGTGATGGAACAGCGGATGCGGGCCCATGTCCTTGACACCATGACCTACTATGGAGCTGATCTGCCCACTGACCATCGACTTGTCATCTGTAAGATGCACCTGCCATTCTTTAGTGGCATGGTCTCAGCTAGCTGATTAAAGTTGCAAGCGAGAATTTCATCATCGCTTGCGGCTGGGGTTGGCATCGTCCCCTACTCCTCCTGATGTCGAGGGGACATGGGCGAGGTTTAGGACTGTGGCTCATGCAGCTGCAATGGCTACTTTGGGTACACGGTCCAGACCTATCTAGAGACCCTGGCTGACAGAGGAGGTGTTCAAGCTGGCTGAGAAAAAGCGACAGGGCCACTCTCATCGGCTACAGCATCCCACGTCGGAGAATGAGGAGGCTTACCGCAGCCTTTGCTCGGAGGTTCGGAGAGCCATGAGGCGCTGCAAGGATGGGTGGTGGTCATGGGTTGCTGAGGAGATGGAGTTTGCCTCAGTGGCTCGCGATCACAAATCACTCTTTAACTCCATCAAAAAGTACCCTACAGCGCCACACCTATTACCATCATTAGGGGAAAGAACGGTGATCCAATCTCCAACCCCCAGGAACAGGTTTGCAGATTTGCTGAGAATTTCTGTGAGGTCCTGGGCGAGGGGAAATCTCTCACCCAGGAAAACAACGTGGGACATAGTGAGGATGACCCTGCCGAGGCTGCGGTGCCTCAAATATTGTAAGAAGTCACCCCCTGTGGGTGGCTGGTTGAGCTGCCATCTATGGAGGAAGTACTGATGGCGATCCAGAGTCTGAGACCAGGAAAGGCACCGGTCAGAGATGATCTCCCAAGCGAAATGCTGAGGGAGGGTGTGCCCAGATTGCACTGAACGGGTTCTGCAGGTTTGGAAGGATGCCCCGGTGTCCCCCTCTTTAAAAGGGGGACCGCACAGACTGTAACAACTACAGGGGCATCTCACTCCTCAGTGTGCCAGGAAAGGTCCTGGCAAGGATTATTCAGCATCGCCTTGCTAGGCACGCCTGGGAGAGGCTTGCGGAGCCCCAATGCGGTTTCAGGAAAGGGCGGTCCTGCACACATGCCATATTTTTTCTACGTATGCTACAGCAGAGATATAGGGAATTCCAACAATACCTAGATCTCTGCTTTATTGGCCTGGTCAAGGCCTATATGAAACCATCAGTAGGCCTCGGCTCTGGGTTGTTATTCGTGCTTTCGGAGTACCTGAACCTCTGCTCACAATCATTAAGGACCTTCATGATGGTGAGCGGCCCAGGTTAAAACTATGTGGCCGGGAGTCAGAGCCATTCCCTGTACACCTTGGGGTGTGACAGGGATGTCCTCTGGCTCCCACATTATTTAACTTATATTTTGACCACGTAGTTCGTGAAGCCTTCAATAGCTGTACCAGAGGAATTTCCATCTGGTACAGATACAATGGGAGGCTGATCGATGCCCGGGTGCAGTCAAGTTGATGGCTCCCTATTGGTCAACCACGTTATGTATGCCGATGATCTGGTGATTGCTGCTCACTCAAAGGAGGAGTTGGAGGCGCTGCTGCTGAACCTTGAGCTTGCCACCAAGAGGTGGGGCCTTACCATCAGGCCCACCAAAACTAAGCACCTGTTTGGGTATTTTGTACCATCAGACACTCCACCTCCACAACTCTCAATTGGTGATAGGGCAGTTGTGGAGAGAGTGGAGAGTTTCCCATACCTTGGCAGTGTGTTCATGACTGACTCCGGTTTAACAGCAGAGATCTCACTCCGAATCAGTCGAGCGGCATTATCTTTTCATCGGTTGCATAACGCTACCTGGTCTCTCGCTCCACACTAAGCTTCAGGTCTTCTCGGCCACAGTCATTCTCTCCCTTCTCTATGCATGCGAAACGTGGACCCCCCTAATGGATCATCTACGCCGTTTAGAAACATTTAGGCTGGCCTGCTTACGATCCATCCTGGGTTTAACCAGGCTGGATTGTGTGAGGAGCTCCAAAATCCTTGAAAAATCTGGACAAAGTCCCATCGGTGAGCTCCTCCGGCGGACAAGGCTGCGTTGGCTGGGTCATGTAACCCGCATGCCCACCCACCACATGCCTAAAAAAACTTTTGTTTGGCCGGATCGAGGGGGCAAAACGGGCGCGGCACGGGCTAGAGAAGACATGGAGTGATGTGGTACAGGAGGTTGTGGAGCTGAGTGGACTTGCCGATGACTGGTAACAGCGGTGTCATGATCGGCCTTTGTGGAGGAGGCTCGTGAAGGACGCTACTGGGCAGTTGGAGGCAGTCGCCCTCCAACAACAACGGAGGGCGGAGGAGCGATGCTCACAACAATGAGCGGAGCGCCGAGTGGCTAAAGCACAGCAAGTTGGCAAAGTAGGAGGCACAGGTGGTGAATCAGCCAGTCGTCTCAGTCAGTCGACCCGTGGCATCTGGGTCTGCCCCGAGACCTCCTGCCAGCGGGCATTCGACACTTCACGTGGCCTCAAGGGGCACATAGCTTGACACAAGCGTCATGGTGATGTCACCGCCACTTAGTGTCGAATGGCGGTTGTTGCTGTTGTTGAGTTAGCGAGTGGAGTGAGTGGGTGAGTGAGTCGGTGAGTGGGCGGCGAGTGCACCAGAGGTTGAGTGAGTTGTTGCGGCCTGCTCTGTGATGGATGAACATTATGTAAATCATTCGAAAGAGTGCTGGTAGGTCGTCTGGTTGATCGCTCGTGGTAGAATCTGTGAGTGATCTTCATGGGAATGGTGGCAACGTAAATATTCTAAGTTTAAGACGTAGGCTTTCATGACCAATATTCCTAATAAAGGTGTTTGGGTTAGATTGCGCAAGTATAAATGTGTCTTAAGAGTGGTCTAATGCTGTTCTGTAGCTCTTGCAGCCTCCAGAATGTGGGAACGGATTTGTGGAGCATGGAGAAGAATGCGACTGTGGCTCCTCCGCTGTGAGTGTTTCACCCTTTTCAGAAGACGGCTCTGTGTGTTGATTCCCTATTATAGGGATTCCTCTACTTACAAACGACTTAGGTTACAGAGGTCTGTTCCTAAGTCGATTTTTTCGTAAGTCCAACTTTACTCATGTCGATTCCAAACACGTTGTATGGCATGTACACTTAACAGGGAGAATGGCTTTAAAAGTTGTATAATCTCCTGTAGATGCCACTGGTTCTGCATGTCCTGCAGATGTAAATGCCACCACCGCCATCTATTGTGCGGCGGTTGACCTTACGGCTCTCGGTCCAAACAGGCAACTGGACATACGTATCTCTGAAAGTTCGTGTCGAATGTTCGTGAGTAGAGGAATCCATGTACAGCCCAAGGCTGTACATTTAGTACATACACAAAAATCGGTCGAAACTTGACCCCTCCCCCGCTCCCTGTACGCACGCGTACTTTTTACCCCCCCCCCCCCCCCCACCTGCGTACGTACGCTTGACGCACCCCGCCCCCCCGAATCCTATAGAACGGCCGATATTTAATCCACGCAGAAACGATCAAGGATTGATAATATCAACGTGTTTAAGTGAACAGATAGTCCACCGCCGGACTATCTAACTGATTTCAAGGCCAATGTAGACTAATTATTATCGAGGCTTCACCCCCCCCCCCCCCCCCCCCCCGTTTCCTATGCGTACGTACATTGCCAGTCAACTCCCCATACGCAAGCGTACGCATTTGGGTTAACCCCCACCTCCCCCCTCCATGCGTACGTACTAAATGAATGGCCCCTTAGAATGGTTGTAGATGTACGGTGCGAAAGAATTTCTACATACATAATTGGATCTGCTGCTGACGCTACTGACACATTACCATTGCAACACTTCCACAATGGGGAAGATTTTAAAATGTATGTGAATATGGAACGGCAAATAGAATGGGCTAATGAAAGCTAATCAACTGTTTATATTAGAAAAAAAACTGTTCCATTGAGAGTCCATTTAAATGTCTCATCCATAGATTAGGGGTGTGGGATCTAGGAGCTGCAGGCCAGAAACGGCCCACGACTTCATTTCTTACGACCACTGACCACATGAGGCCTAACGCTTAGATTCGGCCCACAAACAATATTGGTTCCCTGCAAGCATCTTGGCTGCACTGATAGGATAGTAGAGGGGAGATACTCTCAGCCTGGCAACGACGCCGTGTTTGTAATGTTAGCACGCTGAGTCACGTTTCTCACCCAGGGGCCTCGTCGCGGACCTCCATGCATCAATAACATGCTTAAAATCGCACCTCCGATTAGCACGATTAGCTATGTACGGTTACGAAAGAAGTTAAATAATACATAAATACATAAAATAATTAAAACTACGCCTTAAATTACAGTATTTATTCTCACCACGGCCTTGCAGATCACCAGTTGTCCACGGACACAGTTTGGAAACCTCTGACCTAACACGTTGTCCTTGTATTCTTTTCAGGAATGCGAGAAGATGGGTGGTAACTGCTGCAAGAAATGCACCCTGACACACGAAGCCCTCTGTGGAAATGGTCTCTGCTGCGACTCGGAATGTCAGGTTCGTAAACCGCATTGCAATTGTCCACGAAGTCGCTGTTACTGACAGTGATACCAAAAGTTACTTTCTCACGTGTGGCGAGTGTCAGTCATACGGTGACCGGCATTTGACAACCAGGGACTTGTTATGGTGAACATGTGTACAGTGGGCACGTGATGTTATTTACGTAAAAAAGTTAAATTATAAGAACAAAATACCGTAACAATTAGGGAGATGAAGACAGGTGCTAAGAAGACTTGACAGGGATAGAGATGGGAGGAGAGTGGGAGAGCTGGTCAGTGATGAGAGATTCAATTAAAGAAGGAAAGGTAAATTAGATCCTGAAAACGTTAAGAGAGCTGTGGGGAGATGAGACGTGTCGTCGTCTACGTGGATTCGGAGTCAGGGTGCAGCTGGAATAAGGCGAGGTGATGATGATGTTGGTGGGCGTGATGTGTGGGGCAATTGAAAAGGCAGAGAGAGCCGTCTAGTCACGTACATCGTGTGCGGAGCTCGCGTTCACGCGCGTTGTTCACTCGCGTTTCCTCGCGCATACAGCAGCACCCGGCTAGCCTGGAGCAGCCAGGGGTCACCAACTCCTCCCCCAGACCTCGACCAGAGATGTATAGGATAAGGAAGGAGAAGAGGCGCTGGGAAAGTCACGTGGTGGAGGGAGAGAGATGTGGCAAACGTGCGATGAGTTGGGTGAGGGGGAGAGATGCAAGGAATGCAAAGGGAAGAATAGAGATAAATGAGGGGGGAAAACGAGAGAGAGAGAGAGAGAGATTTGGGAAGATATGGAATTGATGGAGAGATGCTAGAAATATACAATGATTGAGATGGATAGAGAGGTATAGAAACAGAGAGAGAGAGGGGCAGGGGGAATTGTAGGGTACACAGGGACAAAACATTCATAATCAACGTTTTTGGGTTTAGATCGCGTTATTTATAAATGTGTCGTAACCCTCCACCACCCGACACGGCCAATCAGTAAAAAAGTGTCACGTTGACAAAAGACAAATAGTTCACTGCTTTAGCCCACCGGTGTGTTGAAGCGTGAAACCACAACATTTACAATTTGAGTACGACGTTTCGCTGGTAATTCCGATTTAAGGTTTTTATTTCCTTTCAATCAAGAGCAGGCCTCTGCCTTGTACAGCCAAAATAACAGCAAAAGACTGGAAAAACCACATGAACGTAACGGGAACAGGGGATCCTTTTTACAGCCGATGCACCGAGTACGCCGCGATCGAGTTTCCCTCTTTCACACCCTTTACTCAAAAAACAAGAAGTCACCGTCGCAACGGAGGAAGGGGGGGGGGGGTACGTTCATCCACCCATTCTCGTCGAATTCAGCCTATCCCGCACTTGGGTGGCGGCCATCGCCACTTCGCGTTTGTGGCTGCTTTGCCCGTTGTCGCCCTTCACCTCCACCACCCTCGCTAACAGCCCCCTGGCTAGTCGGTATACCTCGGGAGGCGACATATAGACGCCCTTAATCAGCTTCTGGCGTGCCGTCCACAGGGCCTCTTTTACGGCACCTATGACGGCCCATGCCTGAGCCCAGACCCCACCCGCCCTCTGCCTGAACATCCCCCAAATCATATTAGGCGCTGTGGCCTTTACGGGGCAAAAATGGGACAGCAGGGGTCGACTTAACTCCCACACCTCCTGGGCAAATGGGCACTGTACGAGGGCATGAGCAGCGCTCTCTCCCAGGTCGCAGCCTCTCGGGCAATCAGGAGAGCGGGCCAATCTGCGGGAACACATAAATAGCCTGCACTCCAGCCTGTCCCATGCGGCCAGCCAGGATAAGTCCCGCTGCCTTTTCGTCAGGGCTGCCGATGCTACATTTTCCCAAATTTGTCGGGCCCGGGTACCCCGAGCACCTGGCACCTCTGTGCAGACCTCCTTTTTCGACATTTCCGCCAGGACTTCCCTGGGAACCCATGACCCCCGTGTCCGGTCTGGCTCATACTTCGTGATGTATTCATTTACCGCGGTGCACAACCACCCCTGAGGCCAAGCCAGGGGGGTGCCGCGCGGCAACGCCGCCATGCTTAGCCGCCTCAGGAGCCACGCCAGTCTGTGCAGAACATAATACGAGGCTTTCACCTGGAGCCCATTGGAGAAATATAGTCGCAGCGTATTACAGACAAAAATCGTGTCGAGGATGCACGCGACATTCAGGGCCCCCCTCCCACCGTTCTCGGCACGTTTGTACATTGTTTCTCTCTTCACTCGGTCCATCCCTCCCCCCCAGATGAACTTGAAGAACAGGCGCTCCAACCTTTTTGCCATTTGTGCCCCCGGCGGGAACACGTAGGCCAGGTAGATAAGTACCGGGAGGATTTCCACCCTCAAGACCAACATTCTACCTTCCATTGAAAAGCAGCAAGGCTGCCACCTTCTCTAGCAACTCCACACGTTCCGGAGAGCCTGTGGGGGCATACACATTGATCAGCCGGACCTCCGCCCCACCATATGCAACATCGACATAGTGGAGTCGTCCCGGGACCACTTCTCGGGCCTCCTGCACCTCTATGTTCTTTCTACCTAGGAGGATAACCACTCCTGAGCACCTATTAACATTGCTTCCGGACCAGGGAGCAGTGTCCCTCCCAGTCCCTAGCCAGATCCTCTCGACCAAGGGAGTATGGCAAGTGGCACTCCTGTAAAAAGTAAATGTCCTTTTTCAGGGACTGTAGGAAATGTAGAATGGCCCCCCTCCTAGCCCTGCCCCACATTCCCCACACGTTTACTGATGCTACCGTGAGGTCCATACCCAGAATTGCCTCTCCCTACCCAGGCTCGTCGTCCAATAGTTCGTACAGGTTTGTGTCAGCCAATTCCTGCAACTGTTCCGCTCTCCTAGGCTCCTTGGGCAGCCCTCTTCCCTGGTTGGCCTTAGCCACCATGGCACCATCTTCCGACGACCTCGCGTCCATCGAGGAGTCTGTTGCCTCCAGGTCCCGTTTGCGGGTCGTCCTCGCTGGGCCACGTGGCGCTTTCCGCTTCCTTTTCACCACCTTCTTGAATTTCTCCCTCCTGGTGCTCTCCCTCTGCTGCTCCTCTCCGTCCTCCCCCGCCTCCGCCCAGTCAACCACCGTTGGGTCGGGGGGTTTTCCCACGGGCTCCTCGTCCTTGTCCCCGGGGTGCTCCACCTGCCGGCCCGTGGGATCCGCCTCTTCCTCCGACGTCATCTCCCCCTCCTCCCTCCCGTCCTGCAGTGGCGTACCCTGCCTGCCCACCTCTCCACCCCCGTCCTCCATCTTCCCGCTGGGCTGCATTGGCTTCAGCCCGTCCTCGGCCACCTCCCCTTCTCCATCCGCCACCCTACTCCTATGTGCGCGGACCTTGTTTGCGTACGACAGCGGGCAGTCCCTGTACAGGTGGTCTTTAGTCCCGCATAGGTTGCACAATGCCGGGGCGCAGCATTCTGTCACAACATGGTCCCGTGCCTTGCATCGGAAACATATCCGTGCCTCGCACGCTGCAGCCAGATGGCCGCTTCCCCCACATCGCCTGCAGAGCTTCGGCTGCCCCGCATACACCACGTAGCCCCTATTGCCACCAATGTTCAGGGCGCTCGGGATGTGTTGCAGAGCCCCTTCTGCCGTTCTCAACCTCACTCGCCATTGTCTGGCGCCCGTCCAGATCCCTAAAGAGTCTTGGACCCGTTTACTGTCCGAAAGCACCAGGCAGTGCTGCCTCAGCCACACCTCGACGTCGTGGTCTGGCAGAGTCTCATTATACAAAAACACGGTGACAATTTTTGTGTCTAGCTCGGAGAGCAGTTGGAGCTTAAGCAGTGACAGTGGCCTCTCCCCCGCCTTCTCCTCGAACAAAGTCATAAAGCGTTGCAGCAAGTTACTTGTCTTGAAGCTCACGTCAAAAGCCCGGCCACCTGGCAGGGCAATCAAACAAAACAGATCCGCAGGATCCACTCGCAGAGTTTCTATCATCACAGACCGCACGAACCTCGGTCTGTCGATAGTGACTTCCTCTGGCATGTCCTCTTTGAAGGACATCCGTACACAATTGTGCCGCTTGGCGTGTATCGGGGTGAAGTTCCCCCCCGATCCTCCGCGCCACCGCCCTGCGCGCTCCTGGGGCCGCCCTGCCTCCACAGGTCCAGGACTTGCCTGGACAGCGTCGCTTTAGGCACCTTGCGCCTGCAGGCCCACCGAGCTCGGTGCTTCCTCCGCCTCCTCTCCTGGACTGGCCGACACCATTCCACTCCTAGTCGGCTCCTCTCCCTTCCTCGCCCGCTGCCACCAGGCGTCCTCCTCCGCTCGCCTCGAGGTAGACACGCGCGCCTCGTCCCTCTCCTCTGCGGGTCTCCCTCCTCCAGGCAGTCCCACCTCACCATCCTCCGCCTCTGCAGCAGCCAACCCGGCCCGCTCACCTTGGCTCACCACCCCAGAGCGCTTGGTCGCCATGCCCCCAAGGGCCTGCGAGGCTGCCACTGGCCAGGCAGCCAGGGAGCCGAGACTTGGCACAACACCAGCAGAGATACAGAGGCACCGCACCCCCCCCCTCCTCATCGGGCAATTCGCCAGAATGGTCAGGCTCTGCTGTGTCTCCCGTTCTTGTATAGAGCAGCAGCAGGGTGACGTCATCATTAACTCAGGTGCAAAGATTTGAGGGGGGGTTATTGTAATTACAGTATATACTAGATTAGTAATCAGGCTATTGTTACGATGCGAGTTGTAGATTAGTAATCATTTGGCATGTGTTTTATTGTGATTATGCTACATTAGTAATCAGTTAGTGTTTGTTTCCCTTATAAGGAATTGTAATGTATCTTATTTAATAATACGCTGTCTGAGCGATTAAAGTTATTTCTGTTTCTCTCAATTTCAATGGATTATATAATTAGTCTTTGCCAGTAGTAACTAGTTTTACACAATACTTCAACGTTGTCAAAATCAATTGAGTGTCCCTGTTGGCATGCATGTTCTGTCACTGCCGACAGTTGTGTTTGCAATAGTTTAATATTTCTCTGGTGTTCTTTTAGTCTTACACTAACGTTACGCCCTGTCTGTCCAATATAGCATCTGCCACATACACAATTAATCCGATATACACCTTCTGTTGATAATTTAGGTAATTCGTCTTTAGTGCACGTTACTAGTTGTTGAATTTTGTGTACTGTACCAAATCTTACTGTAATGTTTTGCTTTTGCAAAACATGGGCTGATTTGTCAGTTACTCCTGAGATAAATGGTATTTTTATTCTTTTGATAATCTGATCGCTTTCAGCAGTGTTGCTTTGCGATCGTGATTTGGCATTTAGTGCTCTGTTAATTTGAACATTATTGTAGCCATTCTGTCTTAGTGCTTCTTTAACATGTTTAATCTCTCTCACTAGACTTTCACCATCTGACACTGTTTTAGCCCGATGTATGAGCGTCTTGATAAGAGAGGATTTCTGAGTTGGGTGATGATGTGAATCTGCATTCAGATAGGCATCAGTGTGCGTTTGCTTTCTGTAAACGCTGTGTGTTATTTTACCATTTATTTGTCTTTTGTCAACGTGACACTTTTTTACTGATTGGCCGTGTCAGGTGGTGGAGGGTTACGACACATTTATAAATAACGCGATCTAAACCCAAAAACGTTGATTATGAATAATATTGGTCGCGAAAGCCTACGTGTTAAAGGGACGAAACATAGCTGTGTGTGTGTGTCTGTGTAGAAAATTAACGTGCATGGGAAAGTAACAGAGAATACCATGAAAACAGAAACTACACACACAAAATGGAGGGAGTCCTTAGGGATGTGGGGAGAGGATCTGAAGGAGAGAGTTGACAGACGTGGAGAGATCACTTGTTCTTACTTTCATCTTTCATAATTCAGTGCTGACGCAGCCTGGTACCATTTCCATGGGAACTTGGGCCTAGTTCAGTTTCCCAGTTTGTAAACAGGGCAGGAAAAAAACCGATTGGTCGTCAGGGAAAACTAAATGGAAATGCAGGGTTGGTCGGGGAACCGTTGGGAGAAATGAATGGGATTGGTGGAGAATCATAGAAAGTTCCAGAGAGGATAGTGAAGAGAATAAAGGGAAGGATAGAAGGGGGTTCGGGGAGCCTGAACGGAGTGATTCCCTGATGTGTGAAGCGCTGTGCGGAAGACGTAATAAAGACGAGGTTCAAGACTTAACCGGAGCTGGAACTCCTCTACAGTTGTATCAAAATATGTGATTAGATCAACAAGAATTGCTAGGGAAACCTTCGTCTGCACATGTTAGCAAATCATTGGCGACCCTCGCAGAGCTGTCTTTAGTGGTGCCGTACAAAGGATACATTCTGATGAAACCCTGCGGCCACGTCATGCTCAGGTATTTTGGACAAATGTGGGAGATTTGAACTTGGACAGAAATTGCTGGGGGAGTTCCAGGTCTCAGCCAGCTTTCTACACAAAGCAGTGCAACTTTTTTGTCGTCTTGAAAATGGAGGGAACCGTACCAAGTGTTGAGGGGCCTGCTGAATAGATCTAAAACAAAGGGGACCAAAGGAGCAAAGATTCTGCCTACGTTGTCCGGTAGGGAAAGGGTCTAGAAGGACGACAAGTAGGACATGAGACCTGGCAATAAGTGCGGTAAGTTTAGAAAGAGTGATAACTAGAGAACTCGGCTAATACCGTGCCCTTAAAACTATAAACTAGTTTTATTTTACCAGTGAACGATATAGCTCTTTTTCAGAAGTGACCTGGCTATCAAATTTTAGAGCAAGCATCAGGGTTTGCATTGAACCGACGACCTCCTGTATACCAGGCGAGGTAAAAAGAGGTTTGTGGAAATTAGGAGGGAGAGGGACCATTGGTGTCGACAGTAATCAAGAGCCGATGGTGGTGATTTTGTCAGGAAAAAAACTGTTGCAACAAATTGCAATGATCATTTGAGATTAACCTGCTGGCCTGCATTCAGAAGGTGATTAACAGTGGCAAATAGAACTCTCGGAGTATTATTTCCAGTGGCAATCATGGCGGCAAGACATATATATTTTGCTTTAGAGATAGCATCCTTGTTGTTGCGGAGTGATGTTTTAAAGAGCATTTGATGGATGGTTAAGATCTCACTTCCTCCAGACCCTCTCTGATTTATGAGCCATTGACTTCATCGTCCGTTGCTCGACTGAATACCATGGGGAGGGCTTCGTGGTGGAAATGAGTTGGGTCATGAGAGGAGCTCGGTGATCTAAAATGTGCAAAAGAGTGGAATTAACAAAGCAGTCTCTTCGACAAAGGGGAGGCTGGGCTCACAGAGAGGAGGGGAAGGGCAAAGACATCCGTAATTGATACGGGAGTAATGGAGTTTAGCAGGCGATCAGAAATCTGGCGTTGACGGGAAGAGAGTGAGCAAGGTGAGGGCATCTCGAAGATTAGTGCAGGGTGATCAGATAGGCCTGCATCGGCAATGGGAAGCCAGTGGAGCAGACTACATCCAGAGAGTGTCCACGAGTGCGAGTAAGGCCCTGTGATGGCTTCTTTGTTTTCGGCACAGTGAAAAGCACATTTTTCTGACAGAGTAGAATTTGCTTCCACCATCTATTGTTGTGACGACCAATTTCACAGTGTCGCTGCTGCTGTTCATGCGAGAGAATCGTCTAGGTGTGAATTGTATTTGACTTGCGTTTGCACATGTGTGTGTGTATGTCCGGGGGAGCGGTAGTTCAATGGTTAGCGCGCTGCACTGTAAACCCGCTCATGGCCAACACCAGTTACGATTATTTGAACCGATCCTGGGCCTCCCCTAGATCGACTCAGCCACAATTAAGTACCTGGTGCAATGTGTAAACATCGCCACCAGGGAGACAAAGGTGGCTGGACCTGGTGCTGGCCACCCACCCCCTTTGTGTGCCGTTCCGGCCTTCATAAGTTCTCGCTTTCACTACTTGTCTCAAAAGTCTGTTAAGGCTACGTGAGGGATCTTTGTCTTTGTTTGTACGAGTGTAACTGGATGAGCAATTTGCGAATGCATGTGTCGATGTGGTTTTGTGCAAGCACACGCTCGTGACGATGAGATCTAGATCTTGTGAAACCTGCGCACGCATCATGTGCCAGAAATTGTGCAATTGCTTGCACGCTCGTCAAAGCCCAAGCTGTACATATTTATTGTGAGCAGCTTTGTGGACCGAAGTGTGATTTTTTGTTGTTGTTCTATGTAGTTCATACTCGGGTTGCTCAACGAACAACCTGTAAATGGGTAAGCGCTTTTCAGAAGTCAGAAACCGGTGACCGATCTCCGTGGGATTTTAATGGTGAATGACAGTAACGTTACCTCATTGTTTCAACTGTCGCACTGCGAGATTTAATTAAACTGGCGACCTCTGGATCGCAATTCCCCATGTGATAGCAGTTTCACCGCTGTGGCAGCTCTCTTCCTTTCTCATCTGAACTGCTGGATGTGTTGTGTTCCGTACGCATAACCGGTGTTTTAGTGGAAATGAATTTTGTTTCCACAACTCTGGCTTCTATCACTTCAACGTAAAGTGTATTCCCACGTTCCGCAAGAATGGCCAAATTGTACTTTACCTGCATTGGTGGTAACCCACATCCCTCTTCTGCAGTTGCTTTCCCGGGGAGAAGTGTGTCGGGAGGCGGTGAATGATTGTGACGTCAACGAAACGTGCACGGGAGATTCCAGCCAGGTGAGCCCAAGACGTTGTCCTCCTCTCTTCCTTTGCCAGAGTGCGTGTGTGGTGCCAGTGGTGGGAGCCACCTCCACTCTGGTTACAAATTAAAAACGAAACTAAAACTATGTTTAATTGTTACCAGGTAAGGCTCAGCCCACTGAACTATATACATTTTTTCAGAAGCGACTTGGCTATCACAAATGATGAAATTTATAGCAACCAAATACTCGAAATGCGTGTTGGTTCTAAATGTGGAGGGAAAAACCGGAAGACCCGGAGAAAAATCCATGCGACCACGGGGTGCAAACTCCTAATATACAGCAAGCGTCGGGGTCAGAATAGAACCCATGACCTGCTGTATACCAGGCGAGGTAGTAAACATCTCCTAGCCACCGTGGCGTACAAATTTAAAGTTAAATTGAAAATTCCTTGCCGGAGGGACACAAATGAAAAAACACACGCAGCAGAACGTGTACCCAGGGAAGTCGATTACAGAAATATATCTGGAAATTCTGGGGTTTATCTTTAACAATGTCGGACATTTCATTTATAGTTTCGCTATTTTTTGTGTTCCTCCGTGTCTATTTTCAAGCCACCTTTAAAAAAAATATTATGATGATGATGCTGTGTTGGCAGTGGTGCACAAGCACAGACAACAACAAAAACACTCAACACACTCACCAATAACAACAAAAATACTACTACTTGGGCCTTGCAAAGAAAAAAAAGTTTACGATAAGCCACGTTTCAGGCACTAGCCCTTTTTTACGGTGCAGAGACACGCCAAATAAGCAGAGTGACTCTCACGAACTCCACCTCCACGCCTGATCCCAATGGAACCTTCTCACTCCTCAAACCTCCCACCCCCAGCCACCTCCTTCAATCACCAAAGTGTTAACGTTTTTATTCTTTGAGGTGTTCTTGACAAATCTGTTGAGTTTTTTTGTCTCTTTTCAAAAAGTTGTTCATTATTTCCATGTCCCTGGTGGCTGCAGACCCTAATGTTGATGCCAAATGTATCGATACTCCTCTCTGCTCTGCTGATTTTACCTCCCTTCGATTTGAAGCCCTGTGCCCGGGGACATCAATGGGAGAAGTTTAACCCAAGTGCAGTTTACTTTTTCGGGGTATAAAGCTGGCGATGGAAACTCCACAGCAGTGCGCTGGGATGTAGTAGGCTGGGTCTGCCACACTGCTTGTGGCAAGTGCCTCGGCTAATGTATCTGCAGAGAACACATTTTTCTGCTGTGATTTTTTAAATACGGAACATTGATAACTAACGCCTTATTGGTCTCTGTTGAATTACTGCATGAACATTTTTCACAGTGAAAGGTTATTTTATTTAACCAGGTTGGACCTTAAGAAGCTAGGATAGTCTCATTTGCAAAAGTAGTCTGACTCAGTGCATGAATGTACAAATTAACTTCATTAATATATCGGCGCATGCTCCATCCCCTTTGCATTTCATCGTGTGAGTGTGACAATGCTCGTCGCGATTTTGGGGATGTTTTTTTTTTTTGCGCGTGACCTCTGTGTAGATGAGGTTGTGTCTGTGTCGTTTCACTGCGTCTCGTTTTAGTGTCCAGAAAATGTGCACAAGCAAGATGGATACTGGTGCAACGACCAGCAGGTACGATCATTGCTTGCTGCCATCATCTTTAAAATCATTGTACTGCAAGCTTCATCTTATTTTATTCCAGTATTAAGCTTGTTTTCTCAGGAAGGCCTCACTTTTTTATATCAAGTGAGTAATTTGCGGGTATTTTTTTCCAGTATTGAGATGTTTGGCCAATACCAGTTACAGTGTGTGGCGTTTTTGTTAGCTTTGGGAGGAAACTGGAGAGCCCGGAGGAAACCCACGCAGAACAGGGGGAAAACAAACAAATTCCTCAATGAAAGGCACCCGATTCGGGAATCGGACCCAGGCACTTCATGTTGTCAGCCACGAGTGCTGTCGATGAGCCACCTTGCTGCGCTACCGAGCCACGTCATGTTGACTGTGACCAACTGTCACTGTGCGTACTCCAGGGACGCTGCTATCAAGGAGAGTGCAAGTCACGAGATGGACATTGCAAGTACATATGGGGATCTCGTGAGTAGCGTATTTCATTGTTTCATGCTTGGCAAATCCCAACATTGCTGTGGTGGCACTCTTCACAGGTCTTTGCCACATGTATCCGTGATTTTGTTAAATGAGTGGTGTCCAGGGTGAGTTGTGTACAGTACTGTGCAAAGACAAAGATTCCCCCCCATAACCCTTAACAGACTGTTGGGGCAAGTGCTCTTAGCGAGTAGCACCTGTGAAGGCCGGCACTGTGGCACACGAGAAGGTTGGGTGGCCAGCACCATGCCCTAGTGGCGATGTTTACAAACCGCACCAAGTACTCATTTTGGGATGAGTCGACCTGGGGGAGGTCCAGGACCGGTTTAGAAAATCATCACTGGTGTTGGTTGTGAGCGGGAATCCAAATCGGGTCCCCACTACCCACAGGACTGTACAAGCACCACAACACAAAATTCCATAGTTCATGCAAAACTTACCATGCACTGGTAAACATGGGAATTAAAAAATGTGCAAATTTTTGTTCCAAATAGCCTTGTTTTCACAGTTTATCGTAATGCTTACCGAGTACAAAAATATTCTCTGCAAGCTGATGTATTCCAATTAGACACGTGTAGCACACTCGTCATCGGTTTCTTAAGTTCAAAAGATTTGGCCGTATATAAACTGCTGACATTTTAACACAGTAAAAATTTGTTGTGTTAATACATAAACTGGCCTCCGCTATAGAAATGTAGAATTCCCATTACTGGGCCAACATTACCTGCTGATATGAGCTCCTTTGATTATATGGGTACAGACACTGACATTTTTTTTTATCACAGCACATCTAACTACTTTGGAATCTCCATAAACATAAATGTGCCATTAAACCCACCACCACCACCACCTGACACGGCCAATTAGTAAGGTTTGTCACGTAAACAAGACATGTCAATTATTACTACTTCAGCACACCGGTGTTTTGGAGAGGAAACCCACAACATTTACAATTTGAGTACGACGTTTCGCCGGTAATTACAACCAGCATAATCAGGCAACAACCAGAGTATAACAAAAAACAACCTCTATTATGGATAATATTGGTCGTGAAAATTACCTTGGAATCTGTTGAGACTCCCACACACATTTCAATGCTTAGTACAAAATACGATAATTAGATGGATGCACTATATGTATTCAAAGGTATTTATTTAAACAGGAAGAGCCCAATAAGCTGTTAGGCTATAATTCATGGGCGTCAATGCGAAGGTACAGCTGTTACTACACAGTACCGAGCTTAGTTTAAATCATGGCTACCTAATTACAACGCTCAATGTGCCAACGCATGCAATTATGCTTCCTGTACAGAACCAAAAGGCCGTAATAATTCTTCTTATGCTAGTATAAAGGTCTCCTCCTTATCACATGTGGGGGGTGCAGTGTGGGGGGTTCAAGGCGGTCGCCCTCTCGGATGCTGTAACGTTGCTACAGAAACAGTGCATGTGTAGTGGGTTCCCAAGGAGACCGGAGACGGAGCTTAGAGGCAACACGTTTTATTTAAATACCGTAACACAAGGCCCTTAACCCCCGCTACCTGGGAAGGTATGGCCTCAGGGCTGACGTGCCCTATCACTGGGACTACGGGCTCTGAGTTCTCCGGCTAAGAGTGACCTAGGGGAGGCTATCCTGACCTGACCCAGCCAAGGTGCGGGTCTCGACCACTGGCCCGCGCTCAGCCCCGGCCTTTAAAAAGACATCAGTCCCGGGGGTCCCCAGGGTCCTACCTAGAGGAGGCTATGCTGACCCGACCCAGCCAAGGTGCGGGTCCCGACCACTGGCCCGGGCTCGGCCCCGGCCCTTAAAAGGATGTCAGGTCCCGGGGGTCCCCAGGGTCCTAGCCTAACTGGTCTTCAGTCTTCATCTTCAGAGCACTGCCCCCAAGCCGTCCTGAGGTCCGTCTTTTATATCCACCTCGGAGACTCTCCGCCCCCGGTACCACCCCCTTTCTGGAACCTTCCAGGGGGCTCTGGAATAACCCCCCAATCCCTCACCTGGGGTCGGAGGGGGAACTCGGCCTCTCAGCAGTCCGGCTCTCTCTTTATCTATCTCAGGGTGGCACCCCCTACAGACCCGTGCCCGCAACTACAGGTAGGTGTACATAGGGCATTGTGTGCTATGTATTTCCGACGCTACACACCCCCCCCCCCCCCCCTCGTAGCACACAGCTGTCCCGGCTGTCAAATAACAATAAAGACCGGCAAGAACTAAAAACGAGTACGTGTGCCTCAATAAAAAAAACATCATCAACAACAAGAAAAACGAACACCCCCACATAAATAACCCAACCCGCCTGTACAAATATACATTATACACAGAAATATACACAAACCACCATGAACCAGCGCACTCCAAACATACGACGCAACCCACATGAACTGGCCGATAGTGATGACAAAGCTGCGGAGGCCGGATGAGCGCGGGAGTGTTCATGAAAAAGTTTTTGATTTGGATCGAGTTCTGGTCGATGGACCATCGTAAGCAGTGGGGGGAAGATGTGGCCGCGGGTTGCATGGAGTGGAAGACAGCGGTCCTGCAGTGGTGTGTCAGCCGGGCAGGAGGCGTCTGTAGTGGTTGGAGCAACGCACCGCCGAGGCGCTACTCCCGAGGCATCTGAGGGAGCAACAACATGGCTGGGCTGAAGGTTAGGCTCGGCGATTGCACGGTTCGGCTTGTCGGACACGTCACGCTCTCGGCCCCCGCATGGAGTGGGTGTAATGTGATGAGGAAAGAAGGGCTTAAGATGTGATGGGTGCACAAACCAGCACCGCTTCCCGTGGTGGACCTTCACGCACTGCGGCCGGACGACCCGTACAATGTTGACCGGGCCCCTCCAGGGTTTCAAAAGTTTTGGCAACGTTGACAGGGGCACCTGGCGGCAATGGAGCCACGCTCTGTCATCCACAGACCACTTGTGAGTGGAAACCCAGTGGTTCCGCAATCTCTCATTGGCTAAATGGCGGGCCTCTGAGTTGTGCTTTGCAGCCTCTCGCGCCTCAACCAACTTCCGAACATTTCACCGAATGTGTTCGGCCAACCTTGGATTTTGGGGAGGTTTGCGTGACACGCAATTGAACATCCACTGGGGGATTTGCCTCTCTGACGTACATCAAGTAAAATGGGGAAAACCCCGTAGCCGCATGAGGTGCCATTCGGTAGGCGGGCAAGACCCTGGGGATGTGGAGATCCCAATCCTCCTGTGATTCGGACACCTGGTGGCTAAGCATGGAGGTAAGTGTCCTGTGTAGCCACTCAACCATGCTGTCTATTTGTGGATGGTAAGGTGAGGTACGAACTTTTTGCATGCCCAAAGGTTGCAGACATCCCATAGCAAAGCAGATGAAAAATGATTTCTTTGATCGGTCAGCAGCCGCTCCAGAGCACCCTTATCCAGGACATAGCCCTGGAGAAAGGCCTCCATGACGGCCGCTGCCGATTAATTGGGGAGTGGCCAGGCCATAGGCCAGCAGGTGAAGTACTCTACCCCAACCAATAGGTACTTATTACCGCATGGAGTGACAGGAAAAGGGCCCAAGATATCAAGCGCAACAAGTTAATTCACGCGGGACACATGAATGGACTGAAGAGGACACGACGGTCTCGAGGGAGGTTTCCGCCGAGCGCACTGGGGGCAACCTTGAAGCAAGTTAGCGACGTCCCCCGCCATGCCCGACCAGAAAAAATCCAGCCTGAGTGTGGCAAGGGTTTTTTGTATCTACAGATGTAAAAGGCGCTCGTGAACGGCCCACACAGCCCACCCATGCAGGGATGTGGGCACGACTAACTTGTATTTTTGGTCGCTGCCATCCCATCTCATGAGCAGGGGAGACCGGGCCCTCGGGATCCGCTCGCCTGTGGACCTCGCCGGCTCGACGGCGCAGCCTTAGGAGGGAACCGTGCTCCACGTGGAGGTGGTCCCACTCAGAGCTGAGGCCCAACAAAGCATATTGCACGTCGGGCACAGCGGGCTCCGGAGGGGGATCCACCACACACTCGGCCACCGCAGTGAGGGAAGGAGGCACGTTATTGATGGGCTGCTTGCAGCGGCCCGACCCCATGAAGCAAGCGCACCGTTCCGATATATGCAACCGTGATAGCGCGTTGGCGTTTCCGTGTTGGACACCCTTACGATAGACTACAGTATACGAATAGTCCTGGAGGACTTCTAACCAATGGAAGAATTGACCTGATGGCTGATCAACCCGGAGAGCATGCTGGAGAGCTGCGTGGTCGGAGGGAACGGTAAAATGTCTACCGTACAGGTACGGTCTGTATTGCTGTACGAAGAAAACGATAGCCAGCAGCTCCTGATGGGTGACGCAGTATCGTTGCTCAGCGGGCGACAACACCCTACTGCCGTAGGCGACCACACGCTCCACGCCATCAATGACCTGAGACAATACCCCTCCTATGCTGGTATTGCTAGTGTCTGTATCCAGGAGGAACGGCGCTGAAAAATCTGGATAACTCAGGGGAGGGGTATCAACCAGGCCGTTGCGAAGGGCGTCAAACGCGGCTTGTTCTGCTTCACCCCAATGGAACTTTTCTCCCTTGGCCATAAGAGCGTGAAGGGGCTTCGCGATGGATGCGAAGCCCGCGACGAAACGCCGATAGTAGGAGGCGAATCCTACAAAGCTACGCACGTCCCCTACTGAAGTAGGGATCGGCCATGGACGCACGCAGCTGGTTTTTGCGGGATCTGTGGCAATTTCTGATTGGCTAACAATCAGCTCCGCAGCAGAAAACAATTCTGTGGTTTGAATTTGAGGCGTGCCGCGTGCATATTTTCAAAGACGGCGCGCTGTCGTTCCAGGTGCTCTTTGAAAGTCCGGCTAAAAATGATGATATTATATAAATAGATCAAGCAGGTCTCCCACTGGAGCCCAGCGAGGACCAGCTCCATGAGGCGCTGGAACGTCACTGGGGCCGAGTGGAGACCCATAGGCAGCCAGTTGAATTCGAAGAGCCCTTGTGGGGTGCGGATCGCCGTTTTGGGTTTTGAAGCGTCGTCCAGAGGCAATTGCCAGAATCCCAACAAAATGTCGAGATTAGAACAATAATGTGCGCCAGCCAGGGCATTGAGTGACTCGTCCATCCTGGGCAGGGGGTACGCATCGGCCACGGAAACCTTATTTAGACGGCGGAAATCCACGCAAAACCGAAGGCTACCATCTGTTTTTTTAACGAGGATGATCGGCACCCCCTAAGGGCTGGTGGATGGGGAAATGATATCTGCTGCGAACATATCATTAACGGCCACCCGAACGTGCTCTTTTTCGGTGGGGCTGAGATGATATGGATTCTGCCGAATAGGAGCCACATCCCCCATATCGATGTGATGACTAAGCAGGTAGGTGCACCCGATGTCAAATTTTCCCTTGCTAAAGACGTCCAAGAAGTCTCCGAGCAACGTGTGCAATTTACCCCATTGGGAGTCCGATAGGTCAATGCAACCGGCGTACAGAGCATCAATCCACTCATCATCGAGGGCTGAATGCGGGTGGGGCACACGAGCATCCCCTACGTGGCCCACCACCGAGACCCCCAGGAGTGCCGGTGTTGCATGAGCGAGCACCGTGCCTTGGGGGATGATGGTGGTACGCAAGCCCGCATTAAGGACCTGGATGAAAGGTTCCCGCTCCCCAGGAACGAGTGTCTGTGCCCCGACCAATTTCAACCCACGCATAGCCATGTTGGAGGGTGCCAACAAAACTCCATTAGCAACCGTGTCCGAATCGAGGGGTTTCCACAAATGGAGGGGGACGAGCATTTGCGACCTGGATGGGATACGGACCGTGCACGATGCCAATGCCTGCACGGTTGCACAGGCCGTACGCAGCCTAGAGGGAGAGGGCAAGAAGGACATGCGCCGGCCGGAGGGGAGCTCGATACAACCCTGGCTGACCAGGATTTTGATAGGCATCTTGCCAAAAAGTCGGTGCTGAGCAGGCAAGGAACGGCGAGGGTTGATGAAAGAATAGGGCCGTTCAATTTGATATCGCCAATCCGAATTTGCGCGTTGATCCATCCGAAAATGCCCAACGAACCCCCGTTAGCGGAAAAACACGGAACATAAACTGGCTGCAAGGAACGACAGGTCTTGGGGAGTATGTTAAAGATGAGGTCCAAGATTATGGTCACCAAAGCACCGGTGTCGACCAACATCCGGACCTCAACCTCCTCTATGAAGCCAATTACAGCGGAGCCTGCAGTTGCGGCAATCACCCTGTGGGCCAATTGGGACCACTGACCCGGTTCCCCACCGCCCGACGCATGCCCGTCCCGAGGAAGGTGATGGTGTGCGTGTGTAGCGCGTGGGGGCCAAGAGCGTGAGGTGCCGTGACTTGCCTGAGCCTGACGCGGAGTTGAGGGCGATCGCTGCTCCTGGGTCCGTGGTCCGAGGTTGCCGTGACGGGGAGCCCGGCAGCTGGATGACACGTGGCCCGCAGACCGCATTTGTAGCAGGTCAGAGTGTGGAGTCGTCCGTTCTTACTGGTGCGGGTCCCTCCAAGGTCGGTAGTTGTTGGACCTCCAGCCACTCACTGAGGATGATGCGAAGGCCCAGTCGGGATGTTGCGCCTTCTCGGAGCTGCAGGCATCGGCCGGGCCGGTGCAGGCGGCAACGGTAGACTCCCGCTGCAGCAAGAGGTACACGTTGGATGCACCGGGATGGGCAGCTGCACAGCCGGCAGCGCCTCTTCGTCGGCAGCCAGGGTCGCAGGGACCCCGGCCGCCGGTACATCATCGTTGCCATCCGGGCTCTGGGTGCGTCCTCTTCTGCGTGTCTCCATAACCACTTCTGGCACCAAATGTAGTGGGTTCCCACGGAAACCAGGAAACTTTACCCCCGCTACCTGGGGAGGTATGGCCTCCGGTCTGACGTGCCCTATCACAGGGACTACGGGCTCTGAGTACTCCAGCTAAGGGTGACCTAGGGGAGGCTATGCTGACCCGACCCAGCCAAGGTGCGGGTCTCGACCACTGGCCCGCACTCGGCCCCGGCCCTTAAAAGAACGTCGGGTCCCGGGGGTCACTAGGGTCCTAGCCTAGCTGGTCTTCAGTCTTCGTCTTTAGAGCACTGCCCCCAAGCCGTCCTGAGGTCCGTCTTTTATATCCACCTCGGGGACTCTCTGCCCCCGGTACCGCCCCCTTTCTGGAACCTTCGAGGGGGCTCTGGGATAACCCCCCAACCCCTCACCTGGAGTCTGGGGGGAACTTGGCCTCTCAACGGTCCGGCTCTCTCTCTCTATCTCATGGTGGCACCCCCTACAGACCCGAGCCCGCAACTACAGGTAAGTGTACATAGGGCGGTGTGTGCTATGTATTTCCGACGCTACACATGTATCTATGGCAGCATTTTTTGCCAGTCTCAAGATGATGGACAAAATTGCCTTTTTACCCTTTTCGGAAAGAATAGACGCGATGATAAGAAGTCCAAACACCAAATAGACATCCATCACAAGGCATCAAGTCTGCATTAACCATACTCGCTTGTGGTAAAACATGCAAAGATGCTTCGATAATAGATTCATTGTCCTTGAAACGAATTGGCCTACACCAGTGACAACCTCCTTTATGGCCCTGTCTCACCAGTGTCAGACCGAAGAATGAACAGCACAAATACAACGCAAACATAAAAGTCTAAATAGCTTGGGTTGAGCAATTATATTCAGGACTCTTTTTTGCCAGTACAGTCTGTTCACCTATAACGCCGCATGTTTTCATAACGCGAATTGAATATAACGCAATGAATGCATTCGGGAACACATTTTTTATAACGTGGATGCTAATTGGATATAGCGCGCTTCAGCGAACAGAACTACGTCGCGCGAGTAGGGATGAGCAGTCGTACGGCTGCCTCGGCGTAGCATCACACAAGGCGGGATGCTGCTGGATGCTTCTAGATGCTACCCAAAGCGCCTCAGTCTTTGTTCGGCCTGCGTACGCATCTCACGTGTTATCGCGGACTGTTCTTTACCCGATATTGTTCATGATAACGCGATTTTTCCATAACGCGGTGTTCTTCAGGAACCCAACTACCACCACGTTACAGGAGAACACGACTGTATTCTTGCCGACAAGGGTAAAGCAGCGCTTGCGTTCAAAGCATGGCGGTAACGTCGAGCATTGTGCTGCTACATGCTTTTGCATCCTTCGTGCTGTTTCCTCTCTTGTTTCAGGCGTGGTGTCGGCCGATAAGCACTGCTATGAAAAACTCAACGTCGAAGCCAATGAGAAGGGCAACTGTGGCAAACGTGATAGCAGCTGGATACGGTGTCAAAAAGAGTAAGTATGCAACTTTGTTACCCATAGTTTACTCTCGTCTGCCACTTTGAAAGAAAGGAGGCCCTCGATATTTCAGCTCCCTTGTTCCTTTATTGACCGGATACAATTCCTATGCAGCCAAGTGTGCCATTTGGCTCAGTATTAAGATACAATTAAGATAAACTCAAGCCAATATTTACTGACGAATGGCAGTCAGATTAATGTTGTGATATTTCTGTTTTCTATCACTGATGGTTAAAAATACCGTGTTTTTATTCTTTTTTATCCCGCTAATTTTTTGTTATGCAATCACTGAGGCAGCATTTTGTATTTAGCCTTCTCGGCCAAAACGTTTCCTCAGTGTTCCTCGTGCAAAGCCAAAAATTGCCGTGTCGGCGAAAGAGTGACGGCAGGCTCCGCATCCTGCGGAGAAAACGCTCCACTGCGTGGCATCCGCTGGACGAGCGCGGTAATTTGCGCACGGTCCCACGGGTGGACAGCGGCGGTGAGCGACGACCGGTGCTGCCGGAACGAGAAGGGTAGGGCGCGGTGCGGCAGTTCAGCCCTGGCACAAAATCCTCGCCACGTAAACCCCACGTAGCACAGGGTGATCCGTATTTGTTTTTGAATTAAGGCACTTACTAGTTTTCTGAAAACAACTCTCATTATTGATCTTCTTCCACTCGACAAGATTGTTACATTTATGAAGATATTATTTACCCACAATAGAAGGTTCTTTGGGGGGTAAATATAAATGTGTCGTTAAACCGGCCACCACCACCCGACACAACCAATTAGTAAGGGTTGTTATGTAAACAAAACGTGCCAATTAGTTACTACTTCAGCACACCGGTGTGTTGGAGAGTAAACCCACAACATTTACAATTTAAGTACGACGTTTCGCAGGTAATTACAACCAGCCTCAATAGGCAGTTTTGCCACAATTCTGGGAAAAATCGCCTGATGAAGCTGCTTGTAATTACCAGCGAAACGTCATACTCAAAATATGAGTGAGTGAGCAGCTCAGCGGTGACTTGGCTCAGGGTTTGGCCGATTGGAATCCTGAGCGTGGCTGGGACCATGCTTAGAGCTGGCTCAAGTTAAGCGTGGCTTTGAGCTGGCTCACTTGAGTCAGAACCAAGCTTGAGCTGAGCCATGGCTAAGAATACAGGCCTACATCTCTTAGGGGAGGACCAACTATTTGTTTCCGAATTTTATTAAATCAGATTTTAAATTAGTTACAAGTTCAGCACACCGATGTGTTGGAGAGTATTTATTTACGCGTGCCGATGTAACCAATCAAATTGTGACCGACGAAGCTCCTCCTCGCCTGCGGCTGAAGACTTTTCACAGCTGAATTTCATGCAACACGAGGTGTCGCTCAAACTGCTGTGAGCTTCGTCAGGCAGTGAGCTCGGAAATGGAGTTGAGGCGGCTTCAGCTCACCCTGTGCTTTCAGGACCCACCGTGGCATCGCCAACTGCCACCGAATGCATCATTCCATTTTTTGGGTCATTGGGACTGGCTACTTTCAAATACGTTAATTATTTCAAAGATGTTTTCCGTTTATTCATGGCACTGATTTGTGCGTTTGTCAGCTTACGTATATATGTTTTTAGTTGTGTTGGTTCTGTTGATTTAGTATCGAGTTTAAATATTTACTGGCCACTGATGTTGGGGCACCATGCAGCACTTTGTTTATAACTCTCTGGTCTGTTGAAGTTGTTTTTATGTATCTCTCTCCCTCAATCGCTTGTGTGATCACACTTTACCAGTCATAACTGGATTTGCACAGGACATCCACTTGATAGAAATCCACCGTGCGTCCATCTCCTTGACATGCAGGTCCTGCCACAGCAGAATGTATGTATGATGTTGAACTTCTTTCGCACCATACGTAGCGAACCGTGCCAGTTGGAGGTGCGAATGTGCATTCGGCTGTTCGTATCTGATGCGTTTGTTTTTTTGGTGTTCCTTCATACGCACACCGACCTTGCTGCCGATCTCCCCAACATAGTGAAGGCCACAGCTTCAAGTGTAGGGTTAATGACAAGAAAGGTGGCGTAAAACTATCATGTTACCTGACCCAAAAACAAATATGGATCATTGCATTGCATACAAAAATCTACGTTTTAAGATAAGCTTAGGATTGGTCATGCACACACACCAAGGCCTTTCTAACCTACATACATGTTTATTTTCTTAACACGTATGACTTCACAGTCAATGCTATGATAATTATTAATAGATTATTAGGTTTGGCAAGGGAATTACCTCGCCAAATAAGTGTCATACAACACTCCACCACCGCACACAGCCACACAAAATAAATTGCCACACATGCGGGTGTTTAACAATGCGTCAATTATTATATTTCAGAATTATCTTTCAACTCACCAGCAAGTGAGAGGAAACAAAAGATAATTGACGCGTTGATAAATGCTTATGCACTACGTGACAATTTAATTAATTGGTTCTGTCCGGTGGTGGATTGTCTCAAGACACATATTTGGCCGGATTATTACATTGCCTAACCCAAGAATCGGTGATGTATCATGTTTATTCATCTCGTGCTCATATACGAGGTTGGCTGTAGTCTTGCGACCCACATGGTTACCCATAATGCCCAGCGTGTGTTCCGCAGGCCACTTCTTTCACAGCTTCTACCATGTACGTTGAACTTCTCTCGCACCATGCGTAGCTAACCGTGCTAATCGGTGCGAGGCTGCAAATCTTCTTGGCCAATGTATGTCGGTTGGAAGACCGAATGAAAACTCAGGCCAGCTACTCTGCTTACTTTGGGCTTAGAAATACTTCGTAATGTGTGCGAGGCCATGCAAACTCAGAGGAGGGTAAATTTACCGGAGGACTGAAATGGTTGTACGGTCTGGGCCCCATGTGACGATGAGCGAATGCCGAGCTGAGAAGAAGCGATGCACGCTCCCGTGATGGGCTTTCTGTCGTAATTGTAGGGGGTATTGCACGCTGTGCGCCATACAGCAGAAACCACACTTTGTAAATCATACGGAAGTGTAACCCCTCATACTGGCTTGGCCCAGCTGCAGTCCTGTTCTCTTTGGTAATGAACAACATTGCCAGCTCTTGATGAATGTTAAGTTGCTACTTAAACAAGCATTGAGGTGGTACTCTCTCCCATTTATAGCCTTAAACCAGTAATGGAAATTCCACATTTTTATGATGGGGGTGATGATGGGCTGAGTCAACCCCCAACCAGGATTTTAAACCACAACTTCAGATTGTGAACTGCTCGGTCTGCCACAGAGCCACCTGGCCGAGTATTTTACTCTTTGCCTGCAGGGCGGATTTACAGGCTGCAATGGACCCTTGCGTGGTTCATGTCGATGAAGTGAAGAAGCCAAACTGAATTCCTCTGGATTCACTTCAGCTGCCGTCGGTGTCTTGTCATTGCAGTGACATCCTGTGCGGATACTTGCATTGTTCCAGCATCGCATGGCCTCCCCGAGTAGGGGAAATGGATGGAGACATTACCAAGGTGGAGATGTACAAGGAAGGAAGATACATCGATTGCAGGTAAAATGTTCTACGCGTTGCTTTGGATGGATATTGACGAATCGCCATTTAGGCCATCGCAAGATAAACAATGTGGAAGGTTTTACTCAACGACAAATATGACTCAACCCATTGGCCGAGAGGTCGGAGGTCTTCAGAAAGGTGTGGGCCAACACAGGCCCACGTTATCCTTAACACAACACAATCATTAGCGTCGTTGTGGAGAATGTAAGTGTAATAAGAGCCTATGTCAGACTCACGTGGTGATCGGCTTTGCCGGTCCCGCTTTACAGCCAATGGGGGGAGAGCCTGGGAGTATGGCCCCGGCGTGATCACGGGATGTCAGATAGGTGATTGGTTTCGGTGGTCTTGGCCTCAGCCAATGGGAAGACAAGTCAGGGGCGTGGTCCCGGGAGTTGATGGGGGATCTGGAACATTCGGCGCAGGCTATTGAGGATTGGCTGGAGGGTACCACGTGACCCAGGCATTAAATAAGGGGAGAGAGGAGAGACACGGGGTCAGACACGGAACTAAGAGAGGGAGAGGCCACGCGCGAGTGGGGCTCTGGGTGCCACGTGGTGGTGGGTCTCTGGTGACTGTCTGCCCGCTTCCCGTTGCCTGCCAGCAACGGGGAGTGTTTGTGAACTGCAAAGAAAGTGAAATAAAAGGACCGATTCTACAAGCCGTCTCCAGCATGTTATTACATAAGTAACAAAATGAATGAACAGATACGCCTTCCTCCCATATTTATATTCACCTAACCAATGAAAATGTTAAATAGTAAAAAAGTCAAAGTACATGGTCTTCTGGGAGTTGAATTTTCAAGCAAACTCGGACCGATTTTGACATTCAGTGTCTCATCAACAGAGTGAGGCTCGCTTAAACCCACGATGATGAACTGCGAGATGTTTGTATAGACAAGGACGTTCTGTTAGATATGGGTCCTGGTTCGTTGCAAAACCAAATAATACATAAAACACAGAGTGATCATTGGCGTCATTGATGTTACACTGAAGTATGACATTTGAACCTTCATCTCTAATTTGAAAAAGAGTTAGATTCCTGGGATATACGAACTGTTGTTTTAGAGATCTGCAAGAAATGCATCCACTAACTGCAGTTTCTTGTAGTTAAATGCAGTAACTAAAACGGGAGTAGTAATTTGTGCGTGTTTTTCAGTGTGCTCTCAGAATGACCGTTTTTTATTTTATTTCTGAGTATAAAAATGTACACGGTGACGTTAATGTGTCAGTAAGTGTTCTGATATAATGCATGCGTTGCATTTCTACACAAATCATGCGTCTCCTAAAGCAGTCCACATTTATCAATAGGCATTACAAGACCAGTGTGTGCCAGCTTACGTAACCAATACGCTTGCTCTGTAAAATGCTCATTGTGTACTATGTTTTGTTGTTGTTGCAGTGGTGGCCACGTGATGCTAGCTGACGGAATGGACCTGGGATATGTTCCAGATGGAGCCCCCTGTGGACACAATATGATCTGCTTGAGACAAAAGTGCAATGCAATCCGTAGCCTAAACCTCACGGCGTGCCCATCGAATACGGAGGACAGCTGCTCAGGACGTGGGGTAAAAACGCTCTTTCATCTGCTCTTGACCTTTTACGGGCGACGTGCCACCAATGCACCAATCAATACTGAATTTAAAATTAGTCTCTTTTGAATTGTTTTTATTATTACGCTTAATATGCATGCGTGATGTACATACAGTAATGTTGAATAACTATGAATAACCCAACCAATAATAGATATCCATTGTAATTTATATGATTACACTAACCCCCCCCCCCTAGTCTTCGCACCTGATTGGCTCACAAGTGACGACATCACATTTATGCCTCCAAAATGTAAGACTGAAACAGGAGGAGGATTTCTGTACAACTCTTGCTGTCACCAGATGAAGCTGGTTGTAATTACCGGCGAAACGTTTTACTCAAATTATAAATGTTGTGGGTTTACTCTCCAACACACTGGTGTGCCGAACTAGTCACGAATGGGCATGTTTTGTTTACATGACAACCCTTACTAATTGGCTGTGTCGAGTGGTGGCGGGTTTAATGACACTTTTATATTTACACGATCTAACCTCAAAAAATAGGTTAATACTACCTGTTAAACTGATTACGCTGGTTTACCCAAGACATCCTCAAGACGATATTTCAGGAGTGTTCTGCCAAGTTTTTCGCAGTAGGGTGGGTCATGTTGCTGTGTGTTAATCCCAATTGAAAACATTTTTGCAGGTAAGGTTCCAGCATTGGGATGCTTTGGCCAATAGCGCTTAGATTATATATTACTATATTATATATTATTTTAGCGATTGGAGGAAACCGGAAAACTCGGACAAAATCCATGTAGCACGAGGGAGAACATACAAACTTCATACAGAAAGGCACCCAAGTCGGGAATCGAACCCAATGATTTATTGCTGTTAGGCACCAGTGATACCACTGCACCACACTGACACCCAAATCAGTGATGCTTTGATTTTCGTCGTCAGATCTGTCAATGTGTCCTCCACATGGTCGTGCGCAACACGAGACGAACGTAACGACTTCAAAGCCCCTTTATTATTGTTACGAGCTTCTTTGCCCGCCCTCGGACGGAAGCTGTAATATTTATGAAAAAAATGAGCAGAGTATAATTTTATCTTGTGTAAATTGAATGACAGTGAAATTTGCACGAACATATGTCATAAAACACTTCACTGCATTTCACTCTGGCACTGTATTAAACTGGCCTTCAATGATTTTCTAATTCACTGGTCTGATACGTTATTCGCTTCTGCTTTCGGTCCCTGGGGTTCAAATAAATTGGATTGCAATAAAATATCTGGAAAATTACCGATAAATATATATTTAACCAAAATGTAGAAGCGTAAATTAGACTTATCTTTTGTCTCAAGTGCTGAAGAAAAAAATAAAGACCCGAAATCCACTTTGTTGCTGCGTAGAATTATTTATTAGATTCACTTTCATTAATTAGATTCCCTTTCAATAAAGAAACGTGAAACTTAAAGCGAATTTGCGAAAAAATATTGTATCCGCACGACCTTCTTAATGACCGGGGGTGCGGCATGTGGAGTGACGTCACGCGCGGGACACAAACTCCCTCATTAATAATCATTAAAGGAGGACGTCACTCCACATGGAGCTTCCCCCCCTCATCAATAATCATGAGCTGATGACGTCACTCATGTGGACCCCGCCCCCACCCCCTCATTAATAATCAAGAGCGGATGATGTCACTCCACATGGAGCTCCCCCCCAATCAATAATCATTGATGATGAGGTCACTCATGTGGACCCCTGGCCCCACTACCTCATTAATAATCATGAGTGGGTCATTCTTTTCGATTGAATATTTCAGATTAATTGCAATACAACCGTCCTTGGACGGGCTGTATCATAATTTAGAAGAAAAAAATAGACTTACCTTTTGTTTCAAGTGCTGAAGAAATAAATAAAGACACTAAATACACTTTGCTGCGTAGAAATATTAATTTAATTACATTTCAATAAAGAAACGTCAAATTTCAAGCGAATTTGCGTAAACATTTTTTAAATTACCGATCGACTTACGGGAGTGTAAAAATCCACCCGCTCATGATTATTATTGAGGGGGGGGGGGTGGTCATTTTTGTAGTGACATCACGTACGAATTTAGCACTGTGCTGCGTATATATTTATTTGACTTTCTGTAAAGAAACGTCATATTTGAAGCGACTTTGCCAAAACAAATATATTTTCGCTCGACCTTCTTCCACGTGAGTGTAAAAATTCATGTGGAGTGACTTCACGCGCGTTACACACATTTCTGGGATATTGCAGTATTGTAGAAGATTATTGCAGTATTATCATGAGAGTTTGGGAGGGGAGAGACGATGGGAAGGAATTCCACAGTGGAGAAGTGTGGAGAAAGAAGCAGCCAGAGAAGTGCTATAATCCTGCAGTACGGTGGTTGAACACGGTCTGTGTTGAATGCCAAACAATATGAAGTCCTTGAGTTTTAAACATTTAATAAAATGTGCTTTTTTAACACTGCCCTGCATTCTCAGATTTGCAGCAACATGGCCAAGTGTGTTTGTGATCACGAGTGGGCTGGGAGCGACTGCAGCGTCTATGATCCTCTCATCATGGCACCACTTCCAACTGAAAAACCAATTCCAGGTCTGCTGTTTTAATGGTACATTTATAAGTTATGTTTGTATGTATGTATGTTTGACTTCTTTTGCACCGTACATACCCAACCGTGCTAATTTATAACCTTTGGGGAATTGTCCTTAAATGCCCGCAGCCTTGTTCGCCCTGCAGTATAAAAGGGTACACCATAGTTTGTCGATTAGTAGGTCACGTGTGGTGGGGTAAACTGTGGGTATGCCCACAGGTCTGGCCAGCGTGGAAGAATAGACCAAATACCCTCTTCGTTTTGCTCTCACCAGCAGTGGCGTAAGCTAGCAATTGCAGAGTTGTACTTTAACCTTCCATCTCTTAGCCTGACAGGTGTGCGTACATTGATATAAACTTGTCTTTACCTATAGTCGTAATTAATATAGTTATGAAAGTGGTGTGTTTCAACTCGCTCATCGAGATGTCAAGCTCATCATCATCATCACAGCCTTTGACACCAGGCAAGAGCCCAGCTGACGGACGAAGCCCAGGGCAGCGCTCCTTGCAGGTGGCTGGAAACACCGAGGGCCAGGCAGGGCAGGGGATAGGTTAGGAAATCGGAGGTAGTGAGAGACAGCCCAGAGATGAACAGAATTTATCACAAAAGAAGGCAGGGAAAAGAAAATAAAAACAGAGCGGGAGATAGGGTCAGGAAACAGTTGTTGGGCTGGGCAGCAGCAGCAGCAACTCGACCTGCAAATAGCCTCAGCAGTGGCAGCAGGGCTGAATTATCCAGTAGGCACATATATGTAATAAAGGACTCTCAGCCGATGTTGTTCTCCGTGTCCTTTATTGGGTTCTTGCTCGCACCCCGCGATGTCTCCGCTCCGACCCGCACCTTCTCCGCCTCGTGCCTCCGCACGTCGTCTGAGTCCTCCGCTCCCGCTCTCTCTCTCTGCAGCCACCCCGCTGCCCGTGTGCTCCGCACACTCCGCAGCCCCCTTGCTGCTTCGTGTGACTCCGCACACCCAGCAGCCACCCTGCTGCTCCGTGTGCTCCCGCACACTCTGCAGACACCCCCGCTGCTCCACGAACACCGCTGGCCGACGGTGCCGTGACTCCTGCCTCGTGGCAATCGCGCCACTCCTCGCCAGCACTCCGCGTGGCCTCTCTCTTCTCTATTCTGTCTCCACTTCCGATCCCCTTCCGGTTCTCCCCTTATATCCTCCCCCTCACGTGACCCTGACTCCTCCGCACGTGACCCTGACTCCGCCCACACTCACGTGACCCTGTCCTTGCTCGCATTACATATATATTGCTATAGCAAGAATAGACACAGTGTATATACAAAAAGTCAGGAGTCATGTCAATGTGATTTTTTTTTCATGAGGTCAGAGAAATTAACACCAGAGATTAACTTTTTGATATTTTTTTCATTGCAAAAATACCAATTACATCTTAAAATGTTTGTTGCACAATCAAGCGAGTGACAGCAGCAGTACCAACTGTTGAAAGTTATCACTGAAGACCGATGAAACAGAAGTGCCAAGGGCCTACAAGAACCTTAATCCGGCCCGACGTGGCGAGAGCGCCAGGAGATGGAACCAAACCGGTGTCCTCTGGTTACGTCCGGTGTGCCATTACACCAATGTGGCGGCTCCCTTCGTCCGGAATAAAATATTTTAACCATCCAACTAATAATTATTATATCTGGATGCTGCTGTGGCGTAACGGTTAGCACAAACTGGACTTGCAATACGGATGTTGCCAGTTCAGTCTTTCGGTTGCGGCAGTTGAAACATTGGTGCAAGTGTCTTATATCGGCCTCTGTCCACCCAGCAGTGTCAGTGGGTACCACGTCAAGTGGATGGATCTGTAGGGTGGACGTGGTGGGGTAAAGCATGGGTACTCCCACCCCTTTCAAGATATCTAACAAGCATTTAGCAGAGTAGAGCAAAATACCTTCAAGCTGGGATCTCTGGAGTTCCCTCGTGGAGGCCCTTCTGCAAGCAGTGATGGAAGCAATCGCAGGGCTGTGCCTTTACCATCTTGTTAATGTCCAAGGATCCAGAGATTAAATGGATGATGAATATAATTTAGTATTTTTTATTTATGAAATATTTCTTGGCCTTGATTAAACTGTTGGTCGGCGCTTGTCGAAGGACCCTTTTACTCAGCCATTGATGGCATTTGACTGTTTGTCATTTTCAGGGCCCAGTGCTGCAAATATTATCATTGGATCCATTGCAGGTGCCATACTGGTGGCTTCTATTGTCATTGGAGGAACTGGATGGGGTTTTAAGTAAGATGCATGACAGCAAAATATATTATATCGCGCACACAAAATCAATAACGAGCTAATACCAGTTGGAATCGTGTTTTTTTCTTTTGCTATCAAAAGGTTCGGTCGCAATGTAAGCTACGGCATGTATCATGGAGTGGGCGACTTTTGTATTGCAAGTCTAAAACCTCACTTGTAATGTTTGCCTTGTGTTGCGTCTGGAAAGGCCTGCGCCAAGAAGAAGAGATGCTGCTCAAGGACCCATATAAACCGTTTCAACGCCGTTGGATTGATTTGCTGATGCCATATTTTTAAAACTTTGCATCGATACGTAACTTTTGTACAGCCCTTGCACTATGAAATACGAAACTGTATATTATCTATGCATGATTCAATGTGAATAATTGCTGGTTGAAAAAAATATATCATGAAATATTACAAATAGAATGCTTAAAGTGTTAATGCCTTTAAATGCATGGTTGAGGTATAAAGCAACATACATTTTTGAATTATTCCAAAAAGTACCATATTTAGCATTGACAAAGAGCATGGAATTATGTATACACTATGGTGTACTTGGCAATATTTTTTTTAAAGTTTGCAAATATACTGTAAACTTTCTTAAAAGTTTAATTATAAACAAACTTGAAAAATTGTTTTACCTTTGATGTCTGTGCATTGTTTAGGATTTTCAGTCATGTAAAAGTACAAAGGACTGGCAGAAATTCAGTCAAATTCATAAAGCACAAGTGGGATATACTTCTCTGGGAACCCTGACCGTGATACAGGAAAATGGACGAGGGGCGGGAGAGCTGAGCCAGGGGGGAGGGGGTGGGATAGCAAAGGGGAAAACTAGAAGGGGGAAAAGAGATCGGTGCCTGGTAAAGTGTGCGTAATGGAGAGGAGTCAGAACACAAGTCGACAGAGGGGAACCACATTGTTGTAAACACTACCAATGGTTCCTGCGATAGACTCCCCAGGTGGTCCATCGTGGGGAAATTGCACGATTTCCATTTAGGCCGCTGTCGGTAGCCTAAAAGAGGCCTAGAAATAGGGTTTCGTTCCACCAAGTGGGGCACTACCTACTTTTTTATATTTAACATCAGAAATATATAGAGATTCCTTAGGAAAAAGTTATCCGCACACAACCTTGCAGTTTTTGTGAAAAATGATGCTAAAGGTGCCTATTTTGAAAAAAGGGAAACCATAGGGAATTTTGCACTTTCAAACCTGTTTATCATATAAACCCAAAAATGCAGAATTACCACTTGAAGTACAAAATAAACCAGTTTGAAATGTGTGATATACCTGAAGTTGCTATCTATGCACAGTAAACATGATAAGATTATCAAGAAAACTTCTACTGTAGCATTAACATCCCAATTACTTCTCATTATGTTCTTCCAATTCAAAGGTAATATTTGAGGTAAAATCTGAATAATAGAATTAAGCCAAAATATAATATATATAAAAAAAAACTTTTCAAAATAACACATTTAATGGTGAATTGTCAATTCGCATACACGAGCAGTAACTGCACTACATGTACATATTCACAGGAATGATTATTGTAAGCAAGATTTAATTTTGATTGATTTATATTAAATATATATGTCCTATATTAATGCATTATCATATACACATCACTAAATATCAAGATCACTGTCCTCACTATCAGATTCACATGAAACAATATCCTCAGTTAATCTCACATTGTCACAATGAACACATTTACATAGGTCAGTGCAGGCCAGGCCAGCCTTGTGGCATGAGCACCTTCCACCTGTACAAGTACCAGACTTACACCCACAGTGGAGTGACCCCAAAATCTGTTGAGGAGCTGGATCTTAAGTCATCCATGATATGATAAGATCACCATCCTTGACAATACATCCAAAGCCGTCTGGACTGGGAGCATTTATAAAAGGATCCAATGCCCTCCTCTGGATTGCAGCTTGGTAGTTAGCACGCTTGAAGTGCTCTGTAAGTGCATCTTTTGTTGGAGGTAATGCCTGTTCGGAAGAGGCCTGGACACAGAACCTATTGTATCTGGCCAAATTAACATCTGATACCTTTTCTCCATGCAGCTCACACGCAAAACGTTCTATGGTCACAAATGTGGTGCTGTCCATTTCAAATTGCCTCCCAAGAGCAACAAATGCACTGATGTACTCTGCATTTCCAGACACTATATTTAGTGGTTTCTCTTTTCCTTTCCCATAAAAGGGACTAGATGAGTCACAGCCAGTGAATGTGTGTAGTCCTATCAGTGCCTCTGTTAGTGAAGGACCCAAAGCAGAACCAATAGCCTGGAGATCTAACATTCTTTGCCTGTCTTTTGTTCCTGTCAGAAGGACATCTTTGCTGAGGGAAGCTTAGCCATTATTGAAAGTGAAATGATAGCAACATCAGTGTCAGGACTCTAGATGATTATCTTATTATAAAGTTCACTCCAGTCATGTTTTGCATGAAGTAGGAGCCTCGTGTCAGCTTCTTCATGGTCACAAGTCAAAGATTCTACCTCTTTGACAGACAATGCCATCTTTAAGAGTGAGTTGATGACATACATTTCTGTGTGCCACAAAGATAGCTATGTCTTTTCCAGCTGCTTGTAAAGGCACAGTTCTCCATGTCTCAAAGAGAAAGTCTGTCAAGGCTTCTTTATTTTCACCACTGGCTAGAAACTTGGTCCACTGACTTGGAGTCTTCTGCTTGATGCTGTATATTTGCAGTAATTGTTGTCCAGCAACAGCACGTCTTGATCGTTCAGCATTTTTGATGCTCACTGCCGGGTAGCGATCAATGACAAAATCGACCCTTGGACAACTGAACTTTCTACCCATCTTAATCATAAGTTGAAGAAGATCATCAGCAAGCTCACCGAATGTGTCTGGTATATTCTTGAGACTCCTGATCAATGCCATGCCATGCCATCTATCAGTAGGGCACCATTATCACCAACAGTCTTGTTCACATGACAGTCCTTGTTCTTTGATTCTAAACAAGCTAGAAGAGCAGCCTTATTTGTTTTGGCTAATGAACCATCAGTGCTTGCTAGCGGGGATGAGATATTGCCAAGTGAATGTCAGAATCTCTTTCAAGTTTACAGACCGGGATTGACTTATCACTAACAGTCGTGCAAAGAGTCTCCTGTCATTTTTTAGAATGACTTGATTTCCATCTTTTGTCTTGGATGATTTCTTCATTTGATCCCCAAACGTAGTGAGCTTCAAGGACTTTATTGGAGAGAAGAAGTCTGTTTTTGATGACTGGACTCGATCTTGGATGAAAATTTTCAGAGCTGTTTCACCTTTATCACAAGCACTTTGTATGTCATCTCTAACCGTCTTTGTAGCAACAACACCAGAGCTAATACAAGATCTTCACGAGGCAGGAAGGGATTGATCATAGACTCAACCGCTGAAACCAAAGATATAACAGCAGCATTGTCTTTTGCGATTCTTGTTGCATCCAACTCTTTATGACCCCTCTCTTCATGTTGCATTCCAGCCATCATTTCACACTGCCTTGTGATTGCAGAACGTTCAGGATGAGACAGTATCCATCGCTGGACGGCACCTCTGTTCAATGTTATCCCAGTTATGCCGCCTTTGGTCTTTGAATCACGGTTGCAGGTTTGTTCTATTGCTTGGTCACAAGCTATGGATGAGAACCTGTTAGCATCCTTACGCTGTACTATCCAGTTTCCTTTTGCAGTAACTTCTTCATAGCAGTGTGGATGAGTCTTTGGAAGATTGATCATCTCGACCCAATATGCTGATAGGTACCTTGCATAATTTTGGCGGTCATATGCAAAATACCATGCCAGCATACGTCTCACTGTTGCTAAGTGAAGGCTCCAGTCAGAGTCTCTGGTTGCTCTAATCAAACTCAGTAACAGTTGAACCATTTCAATGTATGAGCTCCAAAGTCCAAAGGTGGGAATAACAGAGTTCATCTCATGTACATATCTATCACTAGCTGTACTACCCGGCTTCGCCCGGGACTTGTATCCACCACGGCCGGCCGCCTTTGTCTCCCCAGTGGCGATGTTAATACGCCACAGCAGTTACTCGTTTGAGGCAGAGTCGACCTAGGGGAGTCTCTGGTTGCTCTAATCAAACTCAGTAACAGTTGAACCATTTCAATGTATGAGCTCCAAAGTCCAAAGGTGGGAATAACAGAGTTCATCTCATGTACATATCTATCACTAGCTGTACTACCCGGCTTCGCCCGGGACTTGTATCCACCACGGCCGGCCGCCTTTGTCTCCCCAGTGGCGATGTTAATACGCCACAGCAGTTACTCGTTTGAGGCAGAGTCGACCTAGGGGAGGTTCAAATAATGGTCACCGGTGGTGGCCGTGAGCGGGAATCGAACTGGGTTCGCCGGGTTGGTAGCGCAGCGTAGCGTTAAGCACTACACCCACCGATCCTCACACACCACACACGCACAGACACACACACAGACACACACACAGACACACGCAGACACACACAGACAGACGCACACACAGACACACAGACAGCACTCTAAGCACTACACTACCGCTCCCCACACACCACACATGCACACACACAGACACACACACAGACACACACACAGACACACACACACAGACACAGGCAGCACGCTAAGCACTACACTACCGTTCCCCCTACACAACACACGCGCGCGCGTCCATAGGTACACGTACACGCGCTTGCTGCAGACACACACGACTTTCAGGGTGCGTACGGCAGTAAACGACTGAAATAATAAAGCGGCAATGCTGCGCAAGGAACGCCTTAGACCTGCAACACATTTGTGTAATGCGAGCGTAAACACACAAACACATACACAGTACACACACACATACATGCAGACACACAGACAGACACATAACACACATACATACACACACATACATACACACAAACACATACACACACGTACATACACACATACATACAGACACGCAGACATACACATAAACACATACAAAAAAACCCACATACATACACACACACATACACACAAACACATACACACACATACATACACACATACATACAGACACACAGACATACACATAAACACATACATACACACATAGACATGACCCGGCTTCGCCCGGGACTTGGATCCACGATGCCCGGCCGCCTTTGTCTCCCCAGTGACGATGTTCACACACGACAGCAGTTACGCGTTTGAGGCTGAGTCGACCTAGGGGAGGCCCAGGTCCGTTTAAAATAATCGTCAGCGGTGGTGGGCGTGAGTTGGAATCGAACTGGGGGCGCTCAACCAGCTTAATGACTATTTGTACAAAGAACATATAAAGAATCCATTATAATAAGCAGGCAACAGTCCACATTATAGACTGCCAGTACACGCACTCAGCTTCATAAGCAGGCTAGAGTGTACATGATAGAGTGGCAGTACGCTCACCGAGCTTAATAAGCAGGCTACAGTCTACATGATAGACTGGCAGTACGCTGACCCAGCTTAATGACTATTTGTACAGTGAACATTTAAGTAATCGATTGTTGGCGCGTTGGGTTTAAAAGTAATATTAATTGCACACATTGTGGTGGGGGTGGAGTGAAGAGTACGAAAAACTTTGATGAATTTACCTCAGAGTGGCGTGGTGGGTGTCGAGGCCTAGTAGCGTGCAGAG